TTAAAAAGTATAACATATTTTGAAAAAGTTGAAAGTTTCCCCATCATGTGCTGAAAAGGCTGAATAGTTTGATATTTGAATGGTTTATGTAGCTGAAATTAGGCTGAAGGAGTTAAATAAAGATATGAAATGTAAGTAGTAGTGAATGAACCCAGAGATGAAAGGTTACCATGGTGACGACTTATGACGATTTACCAACTGCAGCACTGAGTCCCATTAAGAATGCATTGAGGATTATATCTGACAATTTTGCCACCTGTTCAAAAACTATGGCTCTTATCAAAAAATTACCAGACCGTGAGCATCAGGGAACCCCAATGAACTGATATATGTTTGTTTTTTTTGGTTTTGTGTGTAAAATGTGGAGATGGGAGCAGTTTGTCTAAAGTGTACTTCTCTCTGTTCTGAAGAAAGTTCCGGAAAGATTTAACATGGGAATCAATTGGGAGCTAGCTGGACTTTTTGTCACTTCATGCCCTCAAGAGGCATTTTGTTTAATATTTTTTTTATTTTCCAACCTAGGAGAGGTTTTCCTACGTTTTTCATGAAAAATGATGTCTGAGGAGTGTAGGGTTTGGGAATTATGGCAGGTTTAAAACCTTTTTTTTGGGAGAATTTCAAGCACTCTTCCACTCAGTTTTGAGATCAAAGCACTCTAGACTTAACGAGCTGCTCCATCCACACTAATGTTAAAATCTGAAGAAAGCCTCTTTACCAAGCTCCAAACTAAGTTAAATATCTCAAGAAGTGTAAAAGATATGAAGAATCCGAATAACAAGTGTTATAGCTGAAGGTGTTGTGATCATTTGAAAGTTGGAATGAAGTGTCTAGCTGAAATTATGTGGAAGGAGAAGCATTTGGCGCAAAGTGTAGGAAAAGAGGATTTGAAGGCATCTCCCATTGACTTCAATGTTAAAAAAAAAGAGTTTAAAAAGCTGAATATTTCAAAAAGTATAAAATATTTTTAAAAGGTTGAAGGTTTCCCATCGATTCCTGAACAAGCTGAATAGTTTGATATTTGAATGGTTTCTGTAGCTGAAAGTAAGCTGAAGTTATGGAGAGCCAAAGTATTGGTGAAATAAGGGGAAGAATAAAGAATTGAAGTACTATAGTGGAATGCTGTGGCACAGCATTCGCACTAATAAAGAATCGAAGTACTATAGTGGAATGCTGTGGCACAGCATTCACACTAATAATCGGGCAGTTAGATGTGTGTAGAGGTGTGTGTGGTTAAAACGAAGCAGCCTGCAGTTGCTCTTTAGCTGTTCTAATGAAGGTAAACACAGCAAAGGCTGTGTGTAAAAGGCACAGCTCCACTTCTTACTTGGCGAACCGGTAACTTTCTCGTGCGCACGAGAACGTATCTCGTGATGAGCAAAACCGTGTCACTTGGCCCAGGTGGTTTCCACAGAACGGACAAAACATGTTTAACGACCATAAACACACTCGTATCGTCCATAGGTACCGGCGGTCTATCCGCCAAAACAAACGTAAGTTTGTGTCAATCACTTGCACGTCACTTCTGGTACTGTATGATGGACATTCCCTTTCCGGTTTGATTCTCCAGTCTGTTAAAGTGTTTCGGCAAATGTTAAAGTGTTTCGGCAAATGTTAAAGTGTTTAGAGACTTGTACATTTGTCTAATTTCTTGTAAAAGTGTTTCGCTAAAGTAATTTTGTTTTATAAAATGTAATTTTGTTTTTATAAAATGTAATTTTGTTTTATAATATGTAAATTTGTCTCAAGCTTTGTCAAAGTGTTTCACACTTTGTAATTGTCATTTGCACTTCTCAGCCACCGTAAGTTACACTCTCATCGTGACCTCAGAACTGCAACTCCTGCGTGCCCAAGTACACCAAACAATTTATGAGGCGTTTCAAAATTCCTCGGTTCCCCTTCACCTTCTCATTATGAGCGATGACATCCCGGCGTTGTTGCTCAGCCAGCTGGAGCTCTATCCTGGTGTCCCTAAATGTTTTAAGGTGAATAGTAGCTCTGAGGTGACTTGAAGCATTCTGATGGTGATGTGCTGATTTGGATAAACTTCCTAAATCAGAATATCCATCTCTGGCCTATGACCCACTGTCCGCGCCAAAAAGCAAGCAATCTCAGCAGTAAAGCTTTTGTTCCCTGGTTGATACGGTCATCCAGTTGTATCTGGCGTAATTGCCGATATTAAAATGCCTCTCGAACCGTTAAATTAAGCTGTGGTGTTGGTCGCCCTTTGGTAATTAACTCCAATTTATCATTGTAACTCAATCTTGAAAATGACTCGGTTAATAATTTTGCAACGATGTCATCACTATCACTGACGTGAGCCATCATGAACAAACTTATGCTAATTAGCTACTTCCCCCTAGCTTGACCCGTTGTTATAATACATGCATACACTTGACAGCGGGCGGAACTTGTCATAAAGTCCGCGATAATAAAGCCCACCCATTTAGAGGGAAGATATGATTGGTCAATTATACTGTCATTTGCAGTGGCGAGCCGTCACGGCCCTCTAGGCCCTCTGTGAGGGCCTAAGATATTCTAAAAAATAATATTTAAAAACATTTTTAAACATTTTTTTTTTTTTAAATATATATTTTTTTAATATTATTTTTGTTATATTTTTCATTAGTTTTACCGAAAAAAAACTTGATTTAATTGTATTTAAAATAACATTTCCAAAGAAATAAATCCTTCGAATCTGCCTGTTCAGTCTCTGTTGAATGTGAAGGGTTACATCAGCGCCATATATACGGCTCTGGGTTACATGAAAGAAGCTCGTCTGGCCCTCTCTGCGATTCACAGAGGGCCCGCTCTAGTAACTGAACGAGAGAGTAATGTCAAATGACAGTACAATTGACCAATCATATCTTCCCTCTAAATGGGTGGGTTTTATTATCGCAGACTTTATGACAAGTTCCGCCCACTGTGAAACTTTTCTTGTTTCCATAGCAACAACAACTTCCTGTCAACAGCGTGAATTCGCCTTCAAAATAAAAGCATGCCAAATTACACTTAAGACATACAACTGCAACGAAAGTAACAAACACAATGCAATATCATTTTCAATGTCAAAGAACACAAATTGGGTTCACAGGTGTTGTTTTGTGTGGTAGAGGGTCGCTGTCATTGATGCGTTTTGCACCCTGGGCCGTTGTTTTGATATTCCGCTGAAGTATACGCTGTGACGTAATAACTCTTTTTTTTTCTTTTTTTCGAGGGAATTGGTGGGGGTCAGAGGGCCTAGGTATAAAGCTCACGGCTCGCCACTGGTCATTTGACATTACTCTCTCGTACTACTATAGCTGGGCCCTCTGTGAATTTATAGCTGGACCACCAATCACCTCCTATCTTCACAGTAACTCACAGAGACGGCCAAAGGAGCTTCTTTCATTTAACCCTTCACCTTCCAACAGAAACTGAATAGGCAGATTCGAAGGATTTATTTCTTTGGAAATGTTATTTTAAATACAATTCAATCAAGTTATTTTGGTAAAACTAATGAAAAATATTGTAAAAAATATATAGTAAAAAAAATATATATACTTTTTTTTAATGTTTTAAAATATTACATTCAGAGAGGGCCTAGAGGGCTAAACGGCTCGCCACTGCTACATTTACTTTTCGTACTTTAAGTATATTTTGATGCTAATACTTCTCTGAGTATCACACCATAGGTCGGCAAATGCCCTTAAACCACTTAGGTGAACAAATAAGCACTGAACTCTGGAAAATATCTGGCTTCGTAAGATTAAAGCAACATGAGCATCACCAGCTCTGTATTAAAACAGTCCCCAGTTGTCCTTTTTTCTCTGCAGCTGCTATATGGTCCAGCATTATTATTTATTAAAACTTTAGATATTAGGGTCGCATCTGCAACATTTCTTCAACTATGACAATTAAATGAACTCTATCACAATTAAAGGTGGGGTAGGTAAGTTTGAGAAACCGGCTCGAGATACACTTTTTGTTATATTCCATGGAATGCTCTTAACATCCCGATAGCAATGAATATCTTAAGTGCTTTGACAAAGAATCCATACAAAAATGTAATCTGTGGAAGCCGTAATACTGTAAAAAGTACGACCAATCATTTTAGCCGGCCCGGCTAAAATAACTGGATGGCCTACCTGCCTGTCAGCCTTCCATCTGTGCACAAACTTATCTCGTGCCCTCATTGGTCATGTGCGCGTTCGTGTGTGTTGGAGGAGGGGCTCTATAAGGAAGTGGCAGATTTTCTCCGGTTGTGTATTTTCAAATTCTAGCGATCTCGAGCCGGTTTCTCAAACTTACCTACCCTACCTTTAACATCCCGATAGCAATGAATATCTTAAGTGCTTTGACAAAAAATCCATTACAAAATGTCATCTGTGGAAGCCGTAGTACTGTAAAAAGCACGACCAATCATTTTAGCCGGCCCGGCTAAAATAACTGGATGGCCTACCTGCCTGTCAGCCTTCCATCTGTGCACAAACTTATCTCGTGCACTCATTGGTCATGTGCGCGTTCGTGTGTGTTGGAGGAGGGGCTCTGTAAGGAAGTGACAGATTTTTTACGGCTATGTATTTTCAAATTCTAGCGCACTCGAGCTGGTTTCTCCAAAATTACCTACCCCACCTTTAAATAAGACTTTAGTTGCACCTGGTATAATTAAAAGCTACCCTGCAGTATACAAAGTCATTCAAACTAGCTGCACCTTTACCAGCTTTGATAACACTTTAATGCATTAAAACATAAGTATTTTTGATGCTAATACTTTTGTACTTTTACTTGAGTCACATTTAGATTGCAGGACGTTTACTTGTAACAAAGTATTTTTACATTCTGATAGTTCTACTTTTACAACATCCGAGTGACTTTTTTCCACCTCTGCGTATTTACTTTTACTGCAGTAAAGTCTCTGGATACGTCTCTCCAGCAGCTGCAATTCTGCGGTCTGCCAGCAGGCGGCGATACCGTTTATTCATAGAAAAATACATCAGCCGCCATTTTCCCCTGAGCGGAAGGAGGAAGCGCAGAGGGAAAACATTAAACTCTTGCAGTAAAAACCCTCCATAAATATATAAATTCTGTGATGGACGGCCCCGGGACGGATAGCGACTGGAGGAGCCCTCAGTTCCGACAGAAAGTCGTTGCTCAGATGTGAGATATTTTCCTTCAGTGTTTTGTTGTTGGCTAAATCTCTCTTTCTGTTACTGTTGCGATAGCCAATTGAGCTAAGCTAACGTTAGCTCTGCAGAGAAAGCACGTCACGTCAAACCGTGCTTAAAAAACCTGTAAATTAACACCGACTCGCATGATATTAAACTTAGCACAGGTCCACAAACATAGCGGAAAATACATCAAGCAAGACCCGTACCCACTCTTCAATTCGGCGTACATAGCAGCAATAAAACAATGCTTAATGGATATATATAAGTCATAGTTTATTATTAGCATTATTAGCTGCTAACGTTAGTCTGCCCACACAGCGAGTTAACTCTTTACTCGTTTAAGCATCACTCGAGTTGAGACATTTCATATACACTTTTTTTTTAAATGTGTTTCTTCTCAGAAATATCGAGCTCATTTATTTAAGTGTTTTTTATATACTTGTACTACCACATTACGTTATTCTACGTTCATTACTCATTCCTGACATATAGGGATACAACTTTTTTTCTTAATGTTTAATTATGCTGGGCAACATTTTTTTTTTCATAGATAAAAATAAATAAAGCAAAACAAAAATATCCACGCATTCAACATAAATAAATATGTATTCTACAAGTCTAATGGAAATGGCTCTACATTTAATAATACAAGTGCATATGAATCACCGCTACTATGCAGGCCACAGGGGTATACATACAGTAAGGGCCATTGCAGAATTGGAGGAAATATTCTGTCCCACCTATGACATTTCAAATAATGCACGGCCAAAATCCCAGAACATGCACTTGTTATTTCAGATATACTTGTCCTTACACAAAATGTAAATTCAGTTGTAGAAAAAGCGGTTTCTCAATATCATTTACATTGTCAAATAGCTCTCAAATACCCCCTAAAATGCATTTTTCTCTTATCCCTCCTTGGTGACCAACTTCCATATCAAATATAACATTTACAATTGGTTATTTATTCACTTGTCTTGCAATTATTGTGTAGATATATGTCTTTTGTAATGGTCAAAGCTATTTGTTTAATTATAAACATATTGTAACTAACAATCATTTTACACTGAATGTGTGTCCCTCAACATGCGTGCAACCCTGTTACCAAAACCTATTAAGCTTGGCTTAAAAAAATTACAAACTGGCAATTACATTATCAACACATTTGTAATTTTAAAGAATATTCAGACATTACAATTAGAATAGAAAATAAATATATATAAATAATAAAATTACACAACAACAATAATAAACACATGGAAAAATACTAGGCCAAATATTATAATAATAGGGAAACTCGCAGATTTTTCATGGTGCCTACGATGTTATATGGGATATTGTGACAGTGCGATGTTTTTATGTAAACAAACACGCATGTAAACAAGACGGGCACAGTGTTTCCCCTAGGTTTACTGCCTTGGCAGGGTGCTGAACTTTTCTTTTTTTATCCTCTGGAGCAGAGAGAGGAGCTGTGGATTATTGTTATTGTTATCGTACAGTAACAAAGTATTTGTACATTAAAAAGTAATAAAGTACAGTGTACAAACTGTATTCCCTTCTTATCATGTAGCCTACACTTCTTCCTTTCATTGATACATTTAAATCACCTGACTACAGCATATAACATACCTGCTGCAACCCTGTGCTGCTGCTGCTTCTCTCTGCCTCATCCTCTATTGCTGGAGGCAGCTCCACCTCATCTGTTCTCTGATATAAAAGCAATCTTGTTATGATCATATTGAGCTATTGGTGTGAGTCTAACATTAAACAAGCAGTCTGCTTGTCATACATTGCTGACGATACATTTTAAGAGGCAATTTGTTGAGTCACTGCCGCTAAATACCGGTAGCATCAAGCTAGCAAATCCTGCATTAGCCTCACATCAACAGGTGTAGACAGAACATCCAATTATCCTGAGCTAATTTACTGAATAAACCAACTCACATCTCCTGTCTTTTTTTTCACCCAACTCATTAGACTATTCTTCTGCTGGCGTTTCATTGTTGTTTTCTGTCAAATTCAATACTGTAGTTCAAAACCGCGGTACCGGCTCACCATCTGTGAGCTATTTTTAGAATGCGCACGCTACGTTGTCGCGTTCGTCCACCTGGGCAGGCTGTGTGTGTCCTTCTCCTCCGTGACGATAACGGCTTGAGGTTAAAAAATAATAATAAACGAATTTGAAACTGGGGGGGGACACACAAACGGGCAGACAGCAGAGCTCGGGGCAATAATGCAGATTTGTTTGACTTTTTTACACTTTGTTGTTCTCCTCCTTTCCTCCCGCTCTTGTCTCTGATTGTGAGTGTGTGCATTCGTGCGTGTGTGTGTGTGTGTGTGTGTGGGGGGGGGAGTGGAGCCCTTCAGAAACAGAGCGGAGGGAGAATGTGAATACGCAAAGCAGTGGACACTGAAACATGCACATACATTGGATAAATAACATAGGCGTTTAGTTTATTCAATAAAAGAGCACATGTTCAATGTGAAAAGTGACCGTAGATAGATTACTTCAGTTGCAATTTAGTGCCATATATATATATTTTTTAAATAAAAAAAACACCTTGAATTACAGGCGGGGCGCGGGGCTCCGTTGGCAGGGCGCAGCGCCCCGCCAAGACAATGGTAGGAGAAACACTGCGGGCATATGGAGGTTGATAACAAAACTGTAAAATGACACGCTTTATTGTGATATATTGGTATTGAAATATGCATGACGGATATCATGATAAACTAGAGAATGCAATTCCTGAAGAAATTGCTTAGTGGGAATGCTTTGTGCTGAAAAGCTGACGCTAAGCTGCTATGCTGAAATGTAATGTGTAAGAAGAAAGTGAAGAATTTAGATTGAAATGATACATGAACACTAGGGGCTTGAATGTGTGATGAGAGAAGAAAAGAAAGTAAAAAGGCTTGGAAAAGCAGCAGAATATTTGAACTGCAAACTTTTGAACTAACTTGATGGTGAATGATCTGTCGCCATGCCAACGGCATTTGATGACATCCCATAATACGCTTAGATACGTTGATGGCTGCATCGTTACCAAACCTGTGAAGTTTTGGGCCATTTGGAGCATTTTCACTGAAGTTATGAGAAAACCGTGTTTCATGGCGAGCATTGTGTTGCCATGGCAACGGCATTTGAAGAAATCTCAAAAACTGTCCCGTAGATGTCTTCACGGCTGGACTGTTAGCACACATGTGAAGTTTGAGCACTTTTTGAACATTTTCATAGGAGTTCTAGCGACATCGTCATTTATGGCGAGGGATGCGTTTCCATGGAAACGGCATATGATGAAACCCCATAATTGACGTAGAGCTGTTGAGGGCTGGACCGTTAACCATTATCTGAAGTGTGGTGCTGTTTTGACCCTTTTCATAGGCGTTACGACAACATCGTGTTTTATGGCGAGGGATGCGTTTCCATGGAAACGGCATATGGTGAGATGTCAGATTTGACGTAGAGCTATTGAGGCATGGAGAGGTGATATACAGGTGAAGATTGTGGGACGACCGGACCGTGTCCATTGGAGCTACAGCGACATTGTGTTTTATGGCGAGGGATGCGTTTCCATGGCAACAGCCTATGGTGAGATCTCAGATTTGGCGTAAAGCTGTTGAGGCATGGACCGGTGATATACAAGCGAAGTTTGGGGGGCGATCGGACCGTGTCCATTGGAGTTACAGCGACATCGTGTTTTATGGCGAGGGATGCGTTTCCATGGAAACGGCATATGATGACCCCCCATAATTGACATAGAGCTGTTTATATTTGAATAACGACGTTTCCAGAGATCAAAGGTTTCCATGGTGATCAAATAAATGTGGCAAAGGCTCAAATTTGTTGAACAACACATTTGTAACAGGATTGTTAATTGACCAAAAAATATGAACAGTTGGAAGATTGAAAATGGGATTATTATTATTAGGATTATTTGTAGGTCATTGAACAGTAGAATCATTTAGAAAGATGTGAACATTGAAGTTTCTATTTTAGAAAAGGTGACACTAGTGCATCGCTGGTTTTAAAAGTGATTTATAAGAGTCATGTTTAAAGATGTGCAATACTTAAAACGTTTATAAAGATCCTCTGAGTGTGTGTCATTAGTTAGCTGATAAAATGTTAAGGATAAATACCTTGACATATTGACTACAAGAGCTTGAATCAAACAAGCAACCTTGTATTTGAAAGATTAAGGCCTAGGGTCCACGGGAACGAAAACGGGTTGAATCCGCATATTTCTCTTGCGTATAGCCCTTTAAGCTAGACGACGCCGTAACGGAACGGTAGAAACGGACCCTGCAAACGACAACGGGTCCAAAGGTGGATAGATCTGGGAACGGAGCGCTCTGGGGGGTCCAACGGGGCCGTGTGGTAGCCTATACAGTCATCCGTTTCTGATAATGACGACGCAATAGCCCCGCCTCTCCCCGCCTCTGCTGCTCACCCCCGCAAAAGTACACTGCACACTGAATTCAGATTATTTATCTTTATCTCGATATGGACATAAACGCGAGTGAAGTCTAATCTGACAGGACGGAGACACGCAGCTCCTCCCGCTGTGATGCAGCGGGAGCAAAACACACACTTCAAGTCAGATCATCACCCTTAGCTATTTTAATTACCTCTCAAACTACCTAAACTAGTTATAAATATGTTTATTTTTACTGTCGAGTCATCATTACTGGATCAGCTGCTGCATGAGACAGACACTGACGCTGTCAGAAGAGAGGAAAAAGAGACAGGCTCTGTGTATTTTATTATTATATATCATTATATCGTCCTTATTCATTTGTTTTAAAGCTCAATAAATAACAAAGAAGACCTTTGACCGGCACTTTTATAATTTTGTCCGGAAGATTTAAACTTTAACACACGTTGACCGGCGAAAAACTCTGCCCGGATCCCTCGGCCCCCACCAAGGAGAATAAACAGAAGTGCAGCCATGACAACCATTCTTCTTCGCTGCTTTTGTGGAGGAAGTTGCTGCTTTTGTGGAGGAAGTTACAGCTCCACGTACAGGCTCGGCATATGTACCGCAGCTTTTCCAGCGGTTGGATGTAAACGGAGCTGTCTCGTGTAGCTTGACACAATCCGGTGTATATTGCGTGTGGGCGGAAGCTTTTTGGCGTTTGCGTTACTCCTATGTGTTTTGCCATATGCGTTCCCGTGGACAAAATTATAAAAGTGCCGGTCAAAGGTCTTCATTGTTATTTATTGAGCTTTAAAACAAATGAATAACGACGATATAATGATATATAATCATAAAATACACGGAGCCTGTCTCTTTTTCCTCTCTTCTGACAGCGTCAGTGTCTGTCTCATGCAGCAGCTGATCCTGTAATGAGTGACCCGACAGTAAAAATAAACATATTTATAACTAGTTTAGGTAGTTTGAGAGGTAATTAAAATAGCTAAGGGTGATGATCTGACTTGAAGTGTGTGTTTTGCTCCCGCTGCATCACAGCGGGAGGAGCTGCGTGTCTCCGTCCTGTCAGATTAGACTTCACTCGCGTTTATGTCCATATCGAGATAAAGATAAATAATCTGAATTCAGTGTGCAGTGTACTTTTGCGGGGGTGAGCAGCAGAGGCGGGGAGAGGCGGGGCTATTGCGTCGTCATTATCAGAAACGGATGACCGTATAGGCTACCACACGGCCCCGTTGGACCCCCCAGAGCGCTCCGTTCCCAGATCTATCCACCTTTGGACCCGTTGTCGTTTGCAGGGTCCGTTTCTACCGTTCCGTTACGGCGTCGTCTAGCTTAAAGGGCTATACGCAAGAGAAATATGCGGATTCAACCCGTTTTCGTTCCCGTGGAGCCTAGGCCTAACTCACATAGCAACAGTCGCACCTGGTATATAAGTGGTGTGGCTGAGTACTTTAAAGGGTTCATGAATAGAGGGGACTTGAATGTGAAATAACAAGAAAATAAAAGTCTAAATGCATGAAAAAGCAGCAGAATATTTTAACTGAAAACTTTAGAACTAAATAATAACCAATAATGTCACCAATAATGTCTAAAATATGTGGAACATGTTGAAGTCAGTATGAAGTCTCCATCAGACGGAAAAGAATAGGCTGAGACAGTCTGTTAAACTCCAGTGACCACGTCATTAGTGTGCTGCTCTAATTATGTCAATTGGAGTTATGACATCATCGTGTTCCATGACACAGGTGTTTATATTTGAGCTAACGACGTGTCCAGAGATCAAAGGTTTCCATGGTGATCAGTGAGAGGAGAGCATTTTCATTGTTCTGAATGAGAGATAAACTTGTTATGTGAACATTTTGTTGAAGAACCGTTACAGATATCGGTGAAATTTCAAAGCGTGAAGCATGTCAAGGAACTTGAGCATCTGAAGTGTACTTTTTGTGTACTTTCGGGTTAATAATGTGGCCTTTTTGGCAGATTAACTAAAGGTGTGCGGCTGCTGTGGTGGGGAAAGGTGAGGCTAAACTTACAATGGGTTTTAATGGAGACATGTTGAAAGTTTTTGTCACTTCATGCCCTCAAGAGGCATTTTGTTTAATTATTTTTGCTTAATTATTTTTTTATCTTTCAAGCTACGAGATGTTTTCCTACGTTTGTCATGGAAAATTATGTCTCAGGAATGTAGGGTTTGGGAATTAAGGCAGATTTAAAAGAAAATATGAAGGCAAAATTAAATCTGTCCTCCACTCAAGCTGTGACATCACGCACTCTAAAATCTGAAGAAGGCCTCTTTACCAAGGTCTGAACAATGTTTAATATCTCTAAAAGTACAAATCAGATTTAAAAGTTGTGTTACACAAATAATGTCAGAAAGATGTGTAACATTTTAAAGTTGGAATGAGGTTTCTGAGTGAAAGTATGAAGGAGCAGTTAGCAGTTGAAGTTTCATGAAGATTGTTGAAGTCTGAAGAGTTTCTCCATTGACTTCCATGTTAAAAATGTGATGTATTATGGGATGTATCTCTGGAATTATGAAAGTTATGAATGATAAAAGTAATAGCCATCGATTCGAGCTGAACGTTTTGAACATGTATGTTTATTTAAATGGAATTGTCTGCAGCATTTAATATATTTATATACAGTAATAAAATCAATGATGCATTTCATTTTTCATATACTCAAAGGTGCTTTTCAACCTAAACATTACATAAAAGCATACAGACTAGGGGTTGACCGATTATCGGCCTGGCCGATTATCGAGGCTGATATTCCGCATTCTACAGATTATCGGTATCGGCCTTTTTTGAATCAAATTGCCGATAAAACTTTGGCTCTGATGCGGCCGTTTCTCTGGCTGCAGTCACCACTGTTCTCGAGCAATGTCCCGCCCACAGCGCTATCTGATAGGCTATTACTGAAGTGTCAATCAACACTGAAGATTTTCCCAGCCAGAGAGGCGGGACCTTCTCAGATTACAGGCAGGTGCGAAGAACGCAGACACAGACAGAGGCAAGCAGCAGCAGCAGCGATCGGTGTTTCGAAGGTAAATCAGTTGAAAGCCGAAGTTCAATAAACATCCCAATCCCCTATGCTGAAGTTGCAAAAACAACACGATCTTATGATCCAATTCTATCAGTTTCCCAGTTACAAAGGGACCGGGGGGGGGCGGGTAGCGTCTCGCAGCGGAGAAACTGTGACGCGCTGGGACGACTGGGACTGTGACGGCTGCTAGTGGAGCCTCGCAGCAACTGCTTTCTGCACCACAATCTGGTGCTGATGAATTGGGACTACTAAATGAGTGAGACTCAAATATCAGAAGTTCAGAACAAGTTTTAGTAGTTTTTATTTTATTTTTACTTCATTTACTTTACTCAGGGTCACAGAGAGGAAACCAGTTTTAAGATGTTGAAAAGTTCATTAAACATAAAAAGGCATTTCAAAGAAGTTGTGTTATTCTACATTTTCACACCAAGATTTTCTGATTTTACTGCAAATGTATATCGGTTCCAAATATCGGTTATCGGTCTCCTTGATTACTAATAATCGGTATCGGTATCGGCCTTGAAAAAGCCATATTGGTCGATCCCTAATACAGACGTGCATGCATACAATTCAAAACACAAGATGCAGTAAGATTCATGAATGTGTAGTTTATAAGAATTTAACATGTTCAGAAAGGTGTAACTGCGTTGAATATTTTTCGTGTTTAAAGCCATAGTGTGAATGATAAAACCTTGTTAAAGTTTTTCATCCATGTGCATGATTCCAGTGAAGAAGCTATGAGGAAGGCAGGAACCGCACACACCAAATCGAGCATTGACATGGAGAACCACGTCTACGTAAAAGCCAAATCCAGAGTGAGTACTGGGAGTCTTTCCCACGGCAGGAAACATGTTTTCAGAGCAGGAGTTTGCTTAAAGATGAAATAAGGATTATTTTCATGATGGATGTTGAAACAGTTCTCCCTCTTTCTTTCCTCAGGAAGAGTATTTATCTCTGGTCGCGAGGCTGATCATACACTTCAGAGACATTCGTGAGTATTTGACTCTTAATACAGGGCGGTACTGATATGCTACACAACTTTTAAACAGTTGTTTTAATGTATGGATTTGGGTTGTAAAGTCTTTGTCATAATTTATTATAAAGTGGTACAGGAATGAGTCCTAAAACCAATAATTGAGTCAGAATGTGATCACTTCCTGTTCCCTCAAATGGAAGTAAATGGCTTTTTGGGTAGATGCCTGAAAAATAAGGTTGTGGTTAACACAAGATGAAGAGATATTTCACATTTTGTCGACATCAAATATGTCAGGTAATAATAATAATAAAGCTTTATTTATTTAAATGATCAACGTTTTACCGTAATATCATGTTTCAACAGTTACTATATCACTTTATTTTTAAATGTTTGTATTATTATTTTAATTATTATTAATCCAGATGATTTAAAGCATCAATAACCACTCCATGCTCCACAGTAAGTGCAGGAGTTTCTAATCACATGTCTCTCTTTGACAGACAAGAAGACCCTAGGAGGCCCGGGTGAGTGCGCTGTGTTGTTTTCTCACTTGTCTTTGCTGTCCTTTACTTTCAATATAGTCTCATGGTGTTTTAGGGTTTCTGCTGTGTATACGATACGATACGATAATACTTTATTGGTCAGATCAAGTCTGAAATTTGACTATGCTGGAGCTGGGTAATATTTTTCTGTTGTCTATCCTTTGCCAGATCCCATGAATGCCCTGACTAACCTGACAGGGGTTGGAGGCCCGGGCGCCATCGGCATGGGGCCTCGCCCTACTGGGGCTCCCGTTGTTGGCATGGGGGCCATGGGGCAGATGCAGATAGGGGGGCAGATGCAGATAGGCCAGCATGCCATGGCGGGGGTGGCTGGAAACCCGCAAGCCAGTGAGTGTGTTTCCTCTGTGTGCTGTGATGGGCGTTACACGCCTCAAAGTAACGTGTTACTTTAATCAAACTACATTTGTCTGTAAGGTAGTAATGTAGCGCGTTACTGGTGACAGCAGTAATTACAATACAGTTACCAAGCACAACATTATCTCATTACCTTGTAGTGGTTCGACTATAGTTGCTGGGTGCCAGTCAGGTCAGGCCTGACAATTTATAGTTAAGATCGAGTCAAACCCTACAAAGAGTACATGTTACCGACGGGAAAAACATACAGCACATGCCCCTCTTAACCAGTACAATATTTCTGTATTTTCAATATAGTAAATTAATACCTTTGAACAAAAACAAAAACACATCTCTTTAAATGCAGACAAATAATATATTCAATAGTTCAAGAACAGTGAGTCCCATGTGAGTGAAAAAAGTGTAATCGATATAGTTCATGAAAAATAGTCCAACAAAAATAGTATAATCCACAAAACTCCGTTCCAGGTTTTCTTTGTACAGTTCCCGGTTATTCCAAAACAATAATCCACATATCGTATTAGTTTCAGTTCAGTTCACCAACCACAGAAAACACATCTTCGTTTAACTTCCCCATCCTCCCACACGACACTTTAAATAAATGAGATACTTGAATGTCTTCAACTATCTGCATATCAGTCTGTTTGCCAGCTCATAGAGTCCTATTGTGAACCCAGAAATGTTAAGTACCACACAGTTTTATGTTAGCAATTTATAGTACAGGTCCCCAGCACATAGAAACTGCCGGATGCCAACCTGCATATGTTGGGTAGTTTGCACAATTGGCGTAAGTAGCATCCATTAGCATCAATTACCATTATAGCCTATGTGGAAAATAGTTGTAAAATGACTTGGCTGATCTGGACAATTTTGGAGTGATTTTTGAGGTTACTTATGATGCTGAATTCATTTCCGCCATTTTCAGGATCACAAACAACAGTTTTAATCAGAAACTGCAAATAGTTGTCCTCGAAGCACTGATTTTGTTTACATTTGTGTCAATCATTTTCATAGTGTGCTCTCTATATCCAATGCTCGCAACACTACTCATGGTAGTCAAGATCGGCCCACCGAGAGTACAAATATGGCCACTTTCTGGTTACAACTGCAATTTTTGATACTGAGAAGCATCCTCAATAACCCCCCAAAACCACTCCCAAATTGTCCAAGTCTTTTTTGTACATTTGTTTACATAGGCTATAATGCCATTCATTTGTGCAAATGGCCCAACATATGCAAGTTAGCATCTGGCAGTTTATATACATCTATACATTTCTAACATAAAACTTTGGGGTACTCAACATTTCCGGGTTCACTAAGCTGGCAACTACATTACAAACATGGCTGCTGTTCAAACAAAGAGCAGAAAAAAGAGGTCTGTGTACAGTATTGTCCTTATTATATTAAGGATTTTGGCTGATCTAGTTCTAATTTAGGTTAACTTTATATTGTTATTTGTCATTTGATTTACTGTGCATCTCAGGGGATGTTACAGAGTAATCCAAAAGTAATGTAACAAAGTGTTACTAATTACTTTCAGCAGTGAGTCATTTAGAAAAATAAGGCATTACTTTTTTTTAAAGTAACTAGTAAAGTGTAATGCAATACTGTTTTTGGGCAACTACCCCAAAACTGGCTGTGTGACAAGGCTCACACACACTTTCCTTGTTGCCTGTGGTTGGTGTTCCATTGTTTGCACTTTCACCTATCCACACTCCAAAGAAATCAAGTGTCCCCTTAAATCAATCTTCTCCCCCATTCCCAATATCCCTTATGAAAGGCAGTATTCAATATTGGTTCTATTTACCTACACAGATATACTATTAACAGTGCTTATCTTTGACCAGTTCAAATCTATTATGTCTTGCCATTCCTCTTCATGCACCCACAGTATTTGAAGTCCTCATGGTAGACAAGAGGCGCGTTCACACCAAGTACTTTTCCCACAATAGTTCATGAGAACTCTTTTAGTTCTGATGAACTAAAGCAGATCGCGTTCACACCAAAATGAGTTCCTGGGGGTGGATTAGGCAAATTAAGCCGCTGACGTCACTTCTTCTTCTTCTGCTTTTGGTTTACTGGCAGGCCGCAAACAACTTCACGGCGAGTACAGTAGGTGGCGGTATGCACCTTAAAGTTGCAATCCGCCAAAAAACTGAGAGAAGAAGAAGAACCTCCCGCGTATACTGCCACGCCCACCTGCTGTATATGAGGCGTCTGTTTACCTTCCGACCTCAGACATGAGCTTCGTCTGAGTTATTTAAGCAAACACAAATTCAGATCGTCGACCAGTCAAATGCAATAGCAATGCTGATTCGGAAGCGAAGGCGGTTAAGAAGGATTGACAAAAGGATCGGACGACGACATGCACGCGCTATGGATTGCGTAACCTGTGTGAAATGAATAAACTGTGCCAGGTGTGTCGTACTCGTATGCACAGTAAATAGGCTCAGCAGTTAACACACCTTTATTATATATCCTCCCGAGAGCAACTGCATCCGTCTGCCATGAACCCTACAGAAACCTACGTGTTAGTTTTGGCCCATAGTGGCCTCCATTTGTGTCTTGTAAAATGGGTAAATAAAAAGTTAGCAAATCCCCATGTCCTCCTCAGAGGACATTCATAAAAACATTTAGTTTTAGGTCAAATAATGATTACACTGCTCTGAAACTCACTACACTAACTCCTAAGATGTTCCCTTACTATAATTAATTAAAATATTGAACTCACAACACTGGTAATTACAAACTTAACCATTTCTCTTTCTATAAATAGTGCTTGTGTTGATGGATGCCATTTTGAAATACAATGAAATTATCTTTTTCAAAGCCACATATTTGGGGTGGGACACAACGAATAAAGCTTCGCCAGTTTATAACCGATGAAACATGATGGTATCAGAATAATCACTTACATGTGATGTATAGGATGCTACACAGGTCACTGTAAAGATACAGTGTCAGAGGAGAAATAAGCAAGATACAGGATCTGTTTAATCGCCATGTAGGTTCTCTTTTATTGCACACTCAAGACAATATCAATAACGGCATCACGCTGTCCCAGGTGTGTCGTATGCATGTAAATACAAGTTAAAAGTTTTAATGTAAATAGAAGTTAACATTTTCAATATAAAAGAAAGTGTCAGTAGTATCAAAATAATATAATAAGAGTGGCAATATATATATAATAACAATATACAATAGCTCAGCAGCAGACACACCTTAGTGCAAAGTGAAGTGTCAGTATTAATAACAGTGGCATATATATAATCACAATAATACAAAATTAACTGTCCCAGGTGTAGGCAATTTGGGGTGAGGTGTCTTGCCCAGGGACACAACGACATGCTGACTGCAGTGGGGTTTGAACCTGTGCCACACGCCTCCCAACAAGTCATTGTACAGTTTATCAACTACGACAATTTTTTATTTTTTTATTGAAGGCCTGTTGGATTTAATCAGCTCGCTTAGCACTGCCAGAAGCCCAGCCTGAAAGGTATTTTGTTGCTCCACCTGGCGTGCCGACACCTCCACCTGGCACGCCGCAGAGTCAGCATGGCGCGTCATCAGCATGAGCAGCTGGTCGTCCGATTCCTGGGCCTTGTGTGAATGCAGCACAGCCGTTCGTCGTGCATCTCCTTGGCACGCAGGTCCTCATTCTCCTTGCTGACCATGGCACGACGGTCCTCCATCGCCATGATGGTGTCAAGGAAGCTGTCATCCCGTGCCCGCTTTCCTAAGGAGGAGAAATAAGCAAGATACAAGATCAGTTTAATCGCCTAGTAGGTTGTCAACAGAGACAACATTGGACATGGTGCAGGCAGGGACAGTGTACAAAATGCAGGTGTAAAGTAGAAGATAAGATAGGATCAAATAATATCAAATAAAAAATAAATATCAAAGTGCCCTTATTTATTGTTTTGTGCTTAATGTATGCTTGAACTTTGTTTTATAGGGATTAGTGGACATCAGTTCGATGCATAACCTTCTTTCAAGGCCAGAGTAGTTACAGTGCAAGTGGATTGACATCTAACATAACATGGCTGAGTAAAATTATAACAATCAATACAAAAAAGGAAAAATAAATTGAATTTCAATTACATTTTTACTTAAATGTGCAAAATATTAGAACATCAGTCTTTGTGGCATGCAGGTAATCAACTGTTTAAGCTTTTACCATTAACATGTAGAATGAATGTTGCAAATGACACATGAAATTATAGCAACTACCATGCAAGTTATTTGGATGTAGCATTATGTCCAGCTAGCATGCTAATTGCTAACGTTATATTATCGTTTTATCCCGGAGGGGAAAGCTCACTAGTTTCCAATCCAAAGAGAAACACCTCGCCTGAAACACACGATTAGTGCCATGAGTTAGTGAAGCAAATTACAGAACATTGCACACTTATTCACAAGTCAAAACGTTTTCATAGCGGGCGCGGCTGAGAATAGCTAGCTAGCTAGATGTTGTTAGCCAGCTTGGAGCTATGATAGCCAGTTCAGCTGGCATGGCTAGCTCGATCTACTGAGCAAATAAAAGTACATCTGAGACCAGTATTGTGCAGATTAAAACAGTGCAGTGCATGTAGTTTATTTTACCTTTGTCGTCGTCCCGGCATGACTTTGCGCTGTGGACGGTTCCCAGGTCGGCTAACTTAGCTGAACAACGGAAACTGCCTTCAGTAGAAGCTTCTGGATCGCGTCCTCAGAGTAAATCGCCAGAAGCGCCGACACATCCTCATCACTCCACCGCTCCGATGATTTATTTAGTGTTGCCATAATAACTGCTTTCACAAAAGTAATCTCTTCGTTGGTGCGCTGCACAGTTTTTAATGCTAGCAAATACAATGGCGGCTACGAACACTTTTTCAGAGTTTTACGGGGCGTGGTTTGCATTCCGCACAGCCAATCAGACATATGAACCTTTTTCTCCCACGAAAGTGGGACTGAGAAGCGGGTAAAAATGGTTCTGATGAACTAATTTCCTGGGGCTTTTTGGTGTGAACGCAAATATATCGTAGTTCTGATGAACTATTGTGGGAAAAGTACTCCGGTGTGAACTCGCTAAAGAGGTCTTCTCAAGGAGGAGTTTAAATCAATTTTCTGTCTTAAAGTGATTTTTTTTTTTTAAATAATTGTTTTCATCATGGTAGCAAATCTGATCACACAAACTCTCTTCAAAGCTATTTTTGAATTTGTTAATTCGTTTTTTTTATTTTTATACCTCCCGGTAAATTTACTAGACTTGCATACGGCACCAACTGGACTTGAACATGGAACATAACAGGAGCATGCTCACTTGGCAGCTTGCTAAGAGTGCAGTACTGCACGCAGACATTTGGCCCTATGTTTGTGTTTAGGACTGACTCTAAACTGTGTCTTATCTTCTTCTCCATCACCCTGCAGTAGGGGGTCCAGGACAGATCCCCATGCAACAGATGGTACAGGTGCAGCAACAGCAGCAGTCCATTCAGTTCCAGCAGTTCCAGCAGCAACAGCAGCAACAGCAGCAACAGCAGCAGCAGCAGCAGAACGCCTTGCAACAGCAACAGCAGCAGCAGCAGAACGCTGCCATCCAGCAGCAGTTTCAGGTGCAGCAGCAACTGAGGGCGCAGCAGATGCAGCAGCAGCAGCAGCAGCAGCACCACCAGAACCAGCAACTACAGCAGCAGCAGCAGCAGCAGCACCAGAGCCAACAGCAGCAGCAGGCCCAGAGCCAGCAGCAGCAGAACCAGGTACTGTAGAGCTGTAATTAACCATTCATTTCTTGATTAATATCAATACAAATATTGAAAAATGTTGTGTAATGGTGCATTCACACTGGACGCGATTCCAGTTTGACTGCTGCATCATTTGTGTTTACTTGCATCACTCAAACTACATTACATTACATTACATGTTACTTGTTAGACACAACGACATGCTGACTGCAGTGGGGTTTGAACCTGTGACCCCCTGATCCGAACACCATCACACAACCCACTGCACCACACGCCTCAAACTAGACGTGCTGGCTGGGAGGCAGGGCTTATATTCATGTAGATACCAACAACAGAATTAAGATATTTTGCGTGATTTTAATTGTAATACACATATCAAAAAACAATGCCGAAATAACAACATACCCTGAATGAATGCTTTTCGAAGTGTGCACACAACACGGCAGGCAAAACACTTTTGAAATGCCTGCTTTCTGAATGGAGGTCCAATCAATCAGGCTCAGGCTATGCTACCGTTATAGCTGATCTGTCCACACTCACAACAACGTCATACAGACATTAATGAAATAGCGACTGTATTCCCCATGCCATAGACCTTCTGTGGTTTGTGCTTTTATAAACACTGATTTTGTCCAGTTTCTAAACAGTTAGGAAGCTCTGTGTGCCTTCGCCCAGAGCCAACAGCTGGTGTTTTGTTTTGGTTTTCTCATTCTACAACGTCAGTGACGACAGGCTGAGATTCTCACCAATGATAGGCTTTTTGCGAGGCAGCGTCACGCGAAAATATGGCTTGAGTTAAAAAAAAAGATCTCTAGCAAATTAAGCTAATTTGCGTCATTTGCGCCGCAGGGGTGATTTCATGTCTCTTGCGGCTTTGCATTGACTTTACATGTTATCGCAACCTTCACAATTTTTGCTTTGCAGGGGTTTTTCTTGAAAAAATATAATTTGAGGGCGCTGATATTGTATATAAGATATATCAAATCTCGCGAGAACATGACACCAGTATACAAGATGGAGCCATGGACGTAAACAACAACGCGACGACGGAGCTCCGTAATAACAAAGCTGTCTCCGCCGTCTGACGGTCTATCTGACACCATTTTCTTATTTTTGGAGTATTTATACAGTTTTTGATGAACAGAAATATTGTTTTTTCTGAGAAGTGCAGCACCAGCGCACCGAGAGCTGTGCCTTTTTACGCACCGCCTTCACTGTGTTTACCTTCTTCAGAACAGCTTAACGGCCCGTCCACACGGACACAACGCGTGCGTTGAAGCTTGCTCCATTTTTTGGAATATGGGGAAATGACCTGTGTGTCTCTCCCAGCATACACGCGGTTTGATTGGCTGCATAAACGGGATTTGATTGGCTGACGCTTCCACCGAAGCTTCAGAAGCTTCAAAAGTTGAACATGGCTCAACTTTTGCAGCGAGCAACGCGTAGCTACGCTCCCCACAATGCAGTTCGGCGAAGCGTGACGTCACCCCATTCAAGTGAATGGAGCAAGCTTCAACGCATGCCGCTGTGTGGACGGGCCGTAAGAGTGACTGCAGGCTGCTACGTGTTAACCACACACACCTCTACACATATCGAACTGCCCGATTATTCTCCCTATTACTCGTTTTATGAAGGAGATGTCCGGTCACCAAGGCGCATGATGTGTGTGCGCACCGGAACGAACTACACTATCATAATATCTTCTGAAAACAAATGCCAGTGTCACTCACACACACACACACACACACACACACACACACACACACACACACACACACACACACACACACACACACACACACACACACACACACACACACACACACACACACACACACCCTGGCGACCGGACATCTCCTTCATAATGCGCCTTCTCCTCGTTTTCCCAGCATTCACTGGATTATCCGTAAATCATACAAACAAAACCAAAACGTTGATTTATCTGTTTTCCCGTTTTGGTTTAAAAACGGAATAACGTCAGTTTTTTAGTTTTCCGTTTTTCCGAAAAACACAGGTTCTTTTTTTTTTTTTTAAACGTTAATATGTTTTGGATGCATATTGTTCTAGTATTTGTTCAGGCTGTTACATACAATTAGTCTCTGTTGCTACCTGCTGGTGAGTAAATATTATAAATCAGTTAAAATTGACAACCATTCCGCGATTTTTTTTTTTATGTATCTGCCGGTCCTTGGCACAATAAAGGTTGGGAACCCCTGCCCTATAGGATTCAGATCTGGTGACTATGGGGGCCATTTGAGAACAGTGAACTCATCGTCATGTTCAAGAAACCAGTTGGAGATGATTTGAGATTTGTGGCGCGTTATCCTGCTGGAAGTAGCCATCAGAAGATGAGTACACTGTGGTTATAAAGAGATGGACATGGTCGCAGCAGAGACTAATCAGACCAGGCAACATTTTTGTCCAATTTTGGTGAGCCTGTGTGAATTGGAGCCTCAGTTTCCTGTTCCTAGCTGACATGAGTGGTACTCTGTGTGGTCTTCTGCTGCTGTAGCCCATTTGCTTCAAGGTTGACCTGTTGTGTGTTCAGATAATGTCTTCTGCATATCTTGGTTGTAACTTGTGGTTTTTGAGTTACTGTTGCCTTTCTATCGTCTTTAACCAGTCTGGCCATTCTCCTCTGGCATCAACAAGGCATTTTCGCCCAGAGAACGTCTGCTCACTGGATATTTTTATTATTGAATAAGGTGTACATAACCCTAAAACACTAGGGTTGGGTGATTTTCACCCATGCGATTGTGTTCATGTGATTTTCATTGTGTTGCTGCGGTCTGAGTTGCGTGGGTTATTGGGTAGCTTTAGGCTGCTCACTGTCGTCATCGAAGGTAGGCGTGCTTCCATGCTCCAATCCCTATTTTTTCAACAGGCACATGTTGGGGTGATTATTACCCGACGTTAGTGATTGAGGGTAAAACATTTATCTGGTGGATTTGACATGCAAGGAGACTGTGCCTTCACCGGACAAGGCTCATATGTCCCAGGAACGGGTGGAACAAAGAACAAGTTCCGAGATTCATTTTTTTATTAATTTAGAACTTTTCATTAACGATCCCTAATTTTCACTTATTTTAGAGCCTTTTTATAGGGTCCCCCATTGATACCTTTTGATGTTGGATAGGGTAAAATAAAAGGAGAGTACTTTAATTTGCCATGTATTGTTGTACTTTAATATATTTTGTATTTTTTATCGGGTATATCATATTGGGTAAAATATACCCAACGTTAGTGATGGTGTTCTAGTGTTCTCGGGCTAATAAAGTGTCCAGTTATGCCCCTTTTCCACCAAACCAGTTCCAGTTCTAGCTCCATGCTGGAGCCTTTCTGGTTCCGAACTGGTTCTTCTTTTTAGCCCCAATAATCGCTTAATATTCGCCAGGGCTGTCCGATTTTCGAATTTGATCATGGTCAGTTTCTGGCATCCCTAATGACAACCTGTGCAGCCCATTTATTGATTCCATCCGATAGCTGCTATAATACAAAACAAAACGTCTGCCTGCTCTCCACAATGATCAATAACAGCGAACGGATGATCATTGAAGTAAGGTAAAAAATAAATAGAATCACACTAAGCCTGGTTAGTGTTGCCTGACTTTATAAAGTTTGTTTTTTTAGTGTGTGGTCGCGTTCTAGTCACTTTGCTCAACAACAACTTTTATTTGCCGTACTCGCCATGAACTGTTATTGCTCGTTAATCTCTCCCCCCTCCGACGTAAGCGTGAAGTATTGGTTCTTGGTTCTTGCCGGGCAGTCGAGTGGGGCCAGCTAAGAACCGGTTTTCGGTGCTTAGAGGCAGCTCCGCTGCGGTAGAAACAGGAAGATCCAGAGCTAAATCAGGCTCTAGCCCGGAACCGGCCCTGGAATCGGTTTGGTGGAAAAGGGGCATGAGTGTATATGTCAGCATTGATGTTCTGTTGGTGCTAGTTTTATATCTGTTTGTGTCTGCAGATGCACCAGACGAGGATCCAGCAGCAGCAGCAGATGGTGCAGCTCCAGCAGCTCCAGCAGCAGCATGCCCAGGCTCAGGCCCAGGCCCAGGCCCAAGCTCAGGCCCAGTCCATTCAGCACATGGTCCAGCAGCAGCAGGTTCAGGCTCAGCCTCAGCCTCAGCCGGGGCAGATGCCTCCACACCCACAGCAGCAGCAACAACAACAACAGCAGCAACAGCAACAGCCCGGTATGGTGCCTCAGTCTCTGGCCGGACAGATGACTTCCGCTCAGCACGTTCCCATCAGCTCGCTCAGTCAGCAGCAGCAGCAGCAGCAGCACCAGCAAAAGATCCAGGCCTTCCAGGTGAGACAGAGCAGCCCCCTTAAAACCTGAAACTTCTGTTGGAGTCCTCTTCGAATCAACTGCATCACTGTTGACAGAATATACTCAAGCAATATGGGGATTTTATTTGGTTCACTATTAACTGTGTGGCCATAAAATAAAGAAGATTATTCTGTAAAATAATAATATCGGAAATATACAATTTGATACATACAAAATAAGTAAGTATTTAAGAAAAGTGGAAAAAAAAGGTAAATATAAAGACAAATAAATTAAGGATTAATCAAGAAAATAAATTATAGGGGAAAAAAGCCTCAAATAAATATGTCAATAAAAGACTAATATAAAGCAAAGATAAATAAAGTAACAATTTGATAAATACAAAATGTGGAAATGTAAAGACGAATCAAATAAGAAATAATTAAGTAAATAAATAATGTGGTAATATAAAGACTATTAAATAAGATAAAAGTAAGTAAATTAAGTAGTAGATCAAAGTAAATCAAACATTTAGTAATAAAAAAGTAAATACAAATGTAGACTTATAAACTAATAATTAAAATAAGTTAATAACATGTGAAATACAAATAAATACAAGAACAAATAGGTTAGTAAAAATGAATTTATTTTCCATTTATTTTTTATATATTAATAAATGAATTGTCATTTTGTAATATACATTTTTGGGTTAATTATTATAATGTAATCTATCTCAATCTTTTTATAGTTCCTTTTCCTTACTGGTTTGGATTTATTTATTTTTGCTTCCAAAAACCCAAATGTGTTGGTCAAACTTGAGCCTGATGAATCACCACTCCAGCAGTATGCTTACCCCTCTCCTCTGCTTGCATGCTTTGTGTGTGTGCGTGTGCGTGTGCGTGTGCGTGTGCGTGTGCGTGTGCGTGTGCGTGTGTGTGTGTGTGTGTGTGTGTAAGCAGGCCCGTGCAGCCTTGCAGCAGCAGCAGGTCCAGCAGCAGCAGGCAGCTCAGCAGGCAGCACAGCAGGCTGCCGCGCAGGCGCAGATCAACGCAGCCGCTGCAGCTGCTGCCACCGCCCCGGGACAGGTGAGACTGCAGACGCCTCAACCTCAGGTGCTTTATGTGTAAAAACTCTGAATGAAATCACACAGTTTAACAATTTATAAAGTCGCAAGGTGGTAATTTGTGTCAGTTTAATTTTACATCACATTTCCCACAGAGGGGGAAATAACATTGTTACAGCAAGTAATCGAGAGACGAAAAAATATAGAACACTATTTTATAAAAGGCATGCTCATAGTATTCAAAATAAAAATCCTTTCAATTGACAGAAGACATAACTCTGAATTCAAGAGTAGCTTGTATAATATTAAAGCAGTTTATCTATGAGAGAATCAGCTTCCTTTTACTCTTCCTGTTACTTTTTTAGTGGGAATGCTGTTAACAGCATTCCAACTATCTGTTCTTCTACGCACAAAATTCTTTATTATTCCGCCGGAATTTTGCACCTCTTCTCCTCCCGCATTGAACATCGCAGAAACTCCGTTCAAACATCAAAACGTTCAGCTCGGTCGGAAATCGATGGCTATTATGACAAACGTAGGAAAACATCTCGTAGCTTGAAAAATGACAAATAATTAAGGAAAATAATTAAGCAAAATGCCTCTTGAGGGCATGAAGTGACAAAAACTTTCAACATGCCTCCATTAAAGCCCATTGTAATTTCAGGCTGATATTTCCTCACGGTAACAGCCGCACACCTTTAGTTAAACTGCCAAAAAGGCCACATTATTAACCCGAAAGTACACAAAAATTACACTTCAGATACTCAACTTCCTTGACATGCTTCACGTTTTGAAATTTCACAGATATCTGTTACGGTTCTTCGACAAAACGTTCACATGTCTCTCATTCAGAACAATGGAAACCTTTGATCTCTGCACACCTCGTTAGCTCAAATATAAACACCTGTGTCATGGAACACGATGATGTCATAACACACAGGTGTTCGTGTTTGAGCTAACGACGTGGTCACTGGAGTTTAACAGACTGTCTGAGCCTATTCTTTTCTGTCTGATGGAGACTTCATACTGACTTCAACATGTTCCACCTATTTTATGCATTATTGGTGACACACAGCTGTCGTCGTTAGCTCAAATATAAACACCTGTGTCATGGAACACGATGATGTCACATTGACAGGTTTGGTAACGATGCAGCCATCAACGCATCTAAGCGTATTATGGGGTGTCTGTGATATGGTGTATCAAATGCCGTTGCCATGGCGACAGACCACTCGCCATGAAGCACGATGTCGCTGTAAGTCCAATGGACACGGTCGATCGTCCCCCAAACTTCGCTTGTATATCACCGGTCCAGCCCTCAACAGCTCTACGTCAATTATGGGGTTTCTTCAAATGCCGTTGCCATGGCAACACAATGCTCGCCATGAAACACGGTTTTCTCATAACTTCAGTGAAAATGCTCCAAACGGCCCAAAACTTCACAGGTTTGGTAACGATGCAGCCATCAACGCATCTAAGCGTATTATGGGGTGTCATCAAATGCCGTTGGCATGGCGACAGATCATTCGCCATCAAGTTAGTTCAAAAGTTTGCAGTTCAAATATTCTGCTGCTTTTCCAAGCCTTTTTACTTTCTTTTCTTCTCTCATCACACATTCAAGCCCCCAGTGTTCATGTATCATTTCAATCTAAATTCTTCACTTTCTTCTTACACATTACATTTCAGCATAGCAATTCAGCGTCAGCTTTTCAGCATAAAGCATTCCCACTAGCAATTTCTTCAGGAATTGCATTCTCTAGTTCTTATTTGAAACTCCTTTTTGCCCGGCATTTGGCCCGTTACCTACGGTTTTAAAAATATTTTATCGAAAGGTGCCGTGTCTGTAGTAAACATGCACAGCAGTGGGAGTGCACGGTTGCGCTTTGTAATTAACAGAAAGATTTCACAAAACTCCTTGACAAAATACCAGTACCACAGGAAAAAGAGCGATATTTGTATTGGCCTGAGCAAGTGGAAAATATGCTCTATTTATCCACATCAATTAAAGGTAGGGTAGGTAAGTTTGAGAAACCGGCTCGAGATCGCTACAATTTGAAAATACACAACCGGAGAAAATCTGCCACTTCCTTATAGAGCCCCTCCTCCAACACACACGAACGCGCACATGACCAATGAGGGCACGAGATAAGTTTGTGCACAGATGGAAGGCTGACAGGCAGGTAGGCCATCCAGTTACTTTAGCCGGGCCGGCTAAAATGATTGGTCGTACTTTTTACAGTATTACGGCTTCCACAGATGACATTTTTTTATGGATTTTTTGTCAAAGCACTTAAGATATTCATTGCTATCGGGATGTTAAGAGCATTCCATGGAATATAACAAAAAGTGTATCTCGAGCCGGTTTCTCAAACTTACCTACCCTACCTTTGATTGACTTGTGTATGTATCAGGGTTTCCGCTAGGATTTTTTCTTGCCGGTCAAATGTCCGGAAACTATTTATTTTACCGGACAAATTCAAAACTTACCGTTCATGTTTCATAATAATAATAATAATAATAATTGTGTAGCAGAGTTTCCGTTAGCAGGTAATTACCGGACTATGACTGGATATGCTGATGTTTAAAACTCAGTTAATGGGGCTAATTTTTATATTGCTTCAGTTTATAATCGTAAAAGATCGAAAAGTTCAGATTCATTTTTCCAAAAATGATACGCTTCCCCAAACAACATAATTATTACATTCAAACAAACGACTTTTAGTAGATGAAGTACATTATTCAAAAGTTTACATTAACTTTGAATAATAGCACGGGAGAAACGGATCCTCTCTTTTCCCCTCTCCCTCCCTCTCTCCTGACAGCCCGTCTGTATCTCATCCAGCTCGCTAAACAGTGGGCGGGGCTTCAGGTGATCATGCAGAGCTGCGTGTCTCCGTCAAACTCAGCAGCTGATCTGATCTCTGATCTCTCTCTCGCGTCTGGTTATACTTCACTCGCGTTTATGTCCATATCGATCAGATCCAGCTCTCCTGATCGGCCTTTATAGAGAGCACCGATCAAACTATTAAGAGTGAATATCGGCCGATAATGATCGGCGTGCAATCGATCGGAGCATCCCTAATTATTACCGGATATTTTGACCGGCAGGTTTTGAATTTACAGTTTTTTAAATACATTTACCAGCTAAAAACCGGTAATTATCGGAAACCCTTGTATGTATGTATAACATTAGGAGCTTTCACACCAAGTACTTTTCCCAGGAATAGTTATAGCATAGAACTTTTATTTCCCCGGAACTATCTAGTAAATCGCGTTCACACCGGAATAAATCCCTGAGGGAGGATTACGCAAATGAAGCCGCTGACGTCACTTCTTCTTCTTCTGCTTTGGGTTTACTGGCAGGCCTCAAACAACTTCACGGCGGATACTGCCACCCGAAGTCCCGGAGCCCCCCGGAGTCCGGGACTTTGGGTGGCAGTAAATGGCCACCCGAAGCCCCGGGTAACTCGTCAGAAGCGCCGACATCACTACACCGATCCCACGTTTTATTTTGTGTTGCCATAAGTTAGTCTCTCTCCGTTGGTGCGCTGGGCTAATGCTAAAAAAAGATATTTTTGGTGTGAACGCAACATCCCAGGAACTATCGGAACTATTTCTGGGAAAAGTACGGGAAAAGTACTCCGATGTGAAAGCGCCTAATGGCTTTGGTTCATGTCCAAACGCACCATAAGTCATCAGGGTTAGAGTGGAGGATAGGGGCTAATGTGTGTCTGTATGCTCCCCTGTCCTCTGAAGTTGGTTCGTCCCGGGATGATTCCAGCCCGGATGCCTCGAGCCCTGAATCCCTCTATCCCGCCTCCAAACGCTGCAGCTGCCGCCGCCGCCGCCGCTGCAGCTGCCGCAGCCGCCGCTGCTGCTGCCGCTGTGGGAGGACAGCCTATGACACAGCAGGTATTTATCCACACTCTGACCTCTGCCCCTCCCCCGTGTGCCTCTGTCTACTGCTAGGGACGTGTATTATTATGAAAAGATTCAGCACAAAACAGTATGGTGTCATATAAGAAGATTAAAGTCTTATTATAGAGGGAAAAAACTTGAAAATTGGAAAGAATAATCCCAATATTCTGAGATTCAAGTGGCAAATTTACAAAAAACTAAGTATTCTCTGAGGTTATAAAGTCTGAAATGTGCGAGAACAAAAACCCTCCAAACTTTCTGAAAACAAAACACTGAAATTATTTTTGTTTCCTTTTAAAAAAACAAAACACCTATTACTCTATTTTTAGGTTGGTTTTTTAAAAATCCAAGCCTTTGCACACATAAGGCCACTGTAGGTTAAAATATAAAGAGGGAAGTTATGCCAGAGACATAACTCTAAACTAAGAGGTTTTAATCTAAACTCTACAGGAAAGGGAGCAACCACAAGCCTAAAAGGGCCCTTTGAAGCGAATGTGTCCGGCCCCCTGGAGGAGTGAATGTAATACTGAATTGGCCTTCTCCTTTTGTCACTTCCCTCAGGTACAGCAGCACTCGATGATGTCATCGCCCTCACCTGTGCAGGTGCAGACGCCACAGTCGATGCCCCCCCCTCCCCAGCCGTCACCTCAGCCCCCCAGCTCACAGCCTAACTCAGCCAGGTACTACTAGCTGTATCATAATTATAATAACAACATAAATAATAATTATGACATTAATGAACCCTTATGCCTCACTAAGGACATCTTAAAATGTTTAATAATTCTGTTTGTGTAAATGCATTTGTCCTTCATTAAGTAAGTATACATTAGCTCCTATATTAAGTGTATATTTAAAGGTAAGTTTGAGAAACCGGCTCGAGATACACTTTTTGTTATATTCCATGGAATGCTCTTAACATCCCGATAGCAATGAATATCTTAAGTGCTTTGACAAAAAATCCATAAAAAAATGTCATCTGTGGAAGCTGTAATACTGTAAAAAGTACGACCAATCATTTTAGCCGGCCCAGCTAAAATAACTGGATGGCCTACCTGCCTGTCAGCCTTCCATCTGTGCACAAACTTATCTCGTGCCCTCATTGGTCATGTGCGCGTTCGTGTGTGTTGGAGGAGGGGCTCTATAAGGAAGTGGCAGATTTTCTCCGGTTGTGTATTTTCAAATTCTAGCGATCTCGAGCCGGTTTCTCAAACTTACCTACCCCACCTTTAATAGTTAATCCAAACTACACTCAGTCAAAAATACCCAAATTGAAAATGTATAAAATCCAGTTTTTTTTATTATATCAGGCTTTACATCTAAAGCCCTGGCTTTAAGATGCAACTTTATACTATTTTCAGCCAGATGGAGACATTTTCTCATGTTCGCTCTATTACAAAAAAGACATGCTATTTTCTTGGTGTCCTGCACAAAAATGAAAATGCATCAAATTCAATGTTGGTGCTAATTATTGACTTATCACAAACTGCGAAAAAATATTCAATCTAGTATTTAATACAGGCCTACAGGAAATAACAGCATTATGTAAACAAACAACCACTGTAAAGTATCCTAGTTTCAGGTGCTACACACAGTTTATTTTTTTATTTAAAAGTGTTTATTTTTAAGCATTCTGTAATTCTTACAGTATTGTTTTATTTTATTTAATAAAAAATATTTAGCAAAATATTTGGCATATTTGTTATCCCAGGTTAAAAAAAACTATCCGAAGAACAAAATTAAAAGAAAAACATAAAGAACAAATGAAGAGTCTAAAGTTGTGGTCCAACACTCAAACAAACGCCTGGGTTAAAATTCAGAAAATAAATAAATCCCCGAAAGTGAAAAAAAAATGTTTTGGCATCAAAGCATCTTTTTGTCCGTCTGTGACGCGGGTTTTAAACTGCTTCCTGTCTGCAGCTCCGGCCCCACACCGTCGCCGGGGGGGTTCCAGCCCAGCCCGTCCCCTCAGCCCTCACAGAGCCCCGCCAATGCCCGGACCCCCCAGAACTACGGAGTTCCCTCACCTGGGCCCCTAAATACTCCAGGTACTTACACAAACACAGACGCACCAATTAAGAGCTACATAAATCACATTCTATTTAAGTTAGCATTAGCATTTATGCTAACAGTAAACAACTGAAATACATTTACATTTCTAATAAAAAATAGGAAGGCATTTATATAAATTCATGATTGGACAAAAATAAATCGTTATCCCTATATACACACATATATATACTGTATTTATACACATATATATATTCTGTATTTGTATCTATATATATATATACATATATATATATATGCTGTACATATATGTATTTGTGATTGTAACAAAATTATGAAATATACATTCCTCTATACCAGCGGTTCCCAACCTGTGGACCGCGGCCCCCTAGTGGTCCGCAAAGGCATTGCAAGTGGGCCACCAAATCATTTGCAAAACATTATGATTTGTGTGGAACCATTTCATTATTAAGATTTTTTTTTATTTTAACCTCTTTTCCTTTCTCTTTCTTGATCCTCCTTAGCAAAGGTCTTTACAGTCCTTGACAGCGGTCTGTACTACTGGATTAACAACGTGTCACATGTTCTGAATTGACCAATCAGAATAGAGTATTCAACTAAACCGTGTAATAAAAATGTCTGTTTGTTACTGATGGCCAGCTCCTTTTCTATTTAAAATAAAAAGTACTTTATTTAGCCTCCGTATTGTTTATGGTTGAATGTGGGCCGCAACATTTTTTAGATTCTTAAGTGGGCCCTGAGTTGAAAAAGGTTGGGAACCGCTGCTCTATACAAACACTTACAAACAAGCATTTATTGATTTAAAAGAAAACAAAATACAACACAATAAAACAATATTTATGAATATATATCATAAATGTTATTTGAAGATTCAACAATGTGTTATCTCGTAATCAGGATTTTTAAATAAATCAAACTTGTTTTAAATTATATTAAACAACATTGCCAGCCCTCATTAAGAAAACTTCCTTGTCTTCAATACATTTTATAAATCTCTTGCAAAGCGTTAAATCCAGGCTTTTGAGACGCACACAACTTCAAGACAAAAAAATTACCATATTTTATCAGCTTAGCTCAGAATGTTTCAGGTTTTCATGGGAAGAAGATTGTGCTCTTAAATCCTCACTTCACTCATGAAATCTCAGATTACCTTGAGTCTTTTCTGTTCCTTCCCTTATCTTCCTGCCCCCCCTCCCCACAGGTAATCCCAGCTCAGTGATGAGTCCGGCGGGAGCCACGTCGCTGGAGGACCAGCAGTACATGGAGAAACTCAAACAGCTCTCCAAATACATCGAGCCGCTACGCAGGATGATCAACAAGATCGACAAAAATGAAGGTCGGACTCAGAGTGCAAAAATGATGTACCCAATGACAGATGATGAGTTGGAAACTTTAAAAAAAGAAGAAGTAATTTATTCACTTCACTCATTGGATAATATATATATAACAGGGTTCGTATAGTCATTGAAAACCTGGAAAAGTCATGGAAATTCAAAATGCAAATTCCAGGCCCTGGAAAAGTTATGGAAAACAATAGTTTTCCCAAAGTTTTGGAAAAGTCATGGAAATATAACTAAAGTTGCATCAAATATAATTAATATTTTATCTAATCGCCGAAATAGTAATACTATATCAAATCAAATCAAATCAAATCAAGTTTTATTTATATAGCACATTTTTAAACGATTTTTGGTCGAGCCAAAGTGCTGTACATATAATAAAAATACCCTACAGTAAAGACATTTTACAGCAAATACAACAGCACAGTTTGTTCAGAATATCAGTATGAGAAAAACGATACCCTCTGTCCTTAGACCCTCACATCGTACAAGGAAAAACTTCCAGAGAAAAACCCACATTTCAAAGGGAAAAATGGGAGAAACCTCGGGGAGAGCAACAGAGGAGGGATCCCTCTCCCAGGATGGACAGAAGTGCAATAGATGCCGTGTGTAAATCGAAGAGATAATACATTTTACAGCGTAGGTAGACCGAATGTTTGGAAATGCATGTGTCTATAATAAGAAGATGAATCCACGAGGATATCAAACATCCTGTGGGAGCCATCAGGGAAGCAGCATGACGAGACCCAGGCAGGACCGCAGAGACAGGCCCAGCCACGACTCGAAGTCCACGACTTAATCCAGAACTCAGGATAGAGGATCCAGGGCACAGGACCACAGCAAGAGGATCAGCCTCCACTCCGGATCCCGGCGTCGATATAGACACAAAAAGAAAAATTTGGCTGGGTTAATCGGAACATGAGAGTACACAGACACAGACAGACAGAAGGAAGAACAAGCACTCCCTTAGGATAGGTTGAGGGAAAAGGGGAGCAAGTAAGAGAGTAAGAAACAGAGGTGGAGAGGCACACGCAGGGAACAAAGGCCCCACTGGAGCCAGTTGGAAATTGGTGAGAGATAGGGAGAAAGCTGTGAGGCCATAACACTCCCCTGCCTGGATAAGCTTCTCTGCAAACCTGTTTCTCTGCAAACCTGTTTCCCTCTAATAAAACCTCGAGAGGTTAGAGAGGGAAAATATTTTTGGATAAAGAGAGGATAGAAAGAATCGATTATCAATTATTATTATTAGAATATGAGAAGTAGAGCGAGAAAAGATTTAGAAGAATGAGTAGTAATAACCTTATTTTTCAATATAAGTTCCGCATTTTTAGGATTTAAGTGAAGGCCAGAGAGAAGAAGTGAGTTTTAAGTGTTGATTTAAAAACCCCTAGGTTCTGGGCCGACCTCACATGGAGGGGCAAAATGTTCCAGAGCCTGGGGCCAGCTGCTGCGAATGCTCGGTGCCCTCGGGTTTTAAGCCTAGTCTTGGGCACTACCAGCAGCAGCTGGTCAGCAGACCTTAACGCTCTGGCTGGGGTGTAGCGATGGAGGAGTTCGGCTATATAGGCCGGAGCCAGCCCATTTAGGGCTTTGAAAACAAATAAAAGGAGTTTAAAATCTATTCTGAACCGAATTGGAGGCCAGAATTGGGGTGATGTGGTCACGCTTTTTATGGCCAGTGAGAAGACGTGCAGCTGTGTTCTGAACTAGCTGCAGGCGTCTAATTGAGGCCTGGTCCATACCCACATACAGAGCATTGCAGTAATCCAGTCTTGAGGTTACAAAGGCGTTAATAACCCTTTCTAGGTCTTTAAAAGATAAAAACGACTTGGTTTTGGCCAATAGTCGTATTTAAAAAAAGCAGGATTTGACTACGGTGCTGACCTGCTTATCAAATTTAAAAGCGCTATTAAAGGTCACTCCAAGGTTCATGACAGAGGGGAGGATGTTTTTATTGAGGGAGCCCAGAATGTCAACTGGAGAGGCTGGAGGTTGAGGTCCAAAAAAGATGACCTCGGTCTTGCTCTCGTTGAGGGTGAGGACGTTTTGGCTCAGCCAGGATTTAATCTCTGTTAAGCAGTCCATCAGCTGCTCGAGTGAGTTGGCATTTTGATTGAGAGGCAGATAATAAATATTGTATCGTATAGTAGGGCTGTGCAATTAATCGTATTTTAATCGCAATTACGATTTTGGCCTGCCACAATTACGAAAACAACATAATTTATTTAGCTTTGCTAGGTTGTGACAGTGCACTACAACATATTTGATCTAATTCATTTTAGTCTAATTTATTTTTATTTATCATATTTGTATATGTTTAGTAGCTTGTGGAAGTGCGCTCCAAAATATGTGTTGATCTTGTTTATTGGTATTTATTATTTTGATATTATTTATTTAAATGTATCATTTAATTTATTTTGTATTGGTTTTTCAGTTGAATTATATGTTCAGGGTAATCAACAGTTAAAAAGATACTGTTCAAATTATTATTTGTTTTAAAGTTCAATAAATGGATGTTTTCAAAGTCAATTAATAATCGTATTTAATAATCGTGATATCAATTATTGACCAAAAATAATCGTGATTATGATTTTTGCCATAATCGAGCAGCCCTATCGTATAGTAATGAAACGTAAAATGGCAACTGTCGCAGTATTTCGCTGGTGAGAGATGTTTAGGGAGGCGTGTGGCGCAGTGGGTTAGTGTGTTGGTGTTCGGATCAGGTTCAAACCCCACTGCAGTCAGCATGTCGTTGTGTCCCTGGGCAAGACACTTCACCCCAAATTGCTCCTGTGGGGATTGCCCACAGTATTGAGTATGTAAGTCGCTTTGGATAAAAGCGTCTAACAAGTGACATGTAATGTAATGTAATGTTTACAATCACGCCCTCTAGTCTACAGTGGCTTTAGCCTGTAGGAGCAGCTACTATTTGATATAAGGCTGCCAAGATGCCAGGGAAGTGCAGTTTCAACAATGTATGGCTTTTAAAGGATATGTACCAATTAGTGTTAATTTCGTTGACTAAAACTATGACGAAATATGTTCGTCAACGACCTTTTTTTCCATGACTAAAACGAGACGATGACGAGACGGCACCGACGGCAGTAAACAATAACTGTAACGAAATCAACATGCAATATCGTTGACGAAAAGTGACGAGACGAAAATGTAGTTTACTAAATAAAAACTATGCCAAAATCTCTCTTTACTTTCGTTGACGAAAAATTAGGAGACGAAATATTATCCAAGATAACGTTACATCTCTGATAGTCAGTTTTTCTCCCAGCAGTTCCATTTCCGGTGCTGCAGCTGGGCAGCAGCTGTGTGTCTGTGCTGCGCGCGGCGGTACATTTGAATTACACTGGGCAGCGGCACAATATGAACTGTCAGGAAGACTCGGGTCTAACTCATGGTCTAACTAACCTTATTTAACAGAAAATAAAATGGCAACAACAGGGCTTGGGAGCAGTTAACCGAATACCCCCCCCCCCCCGTCAGCGCGAGTGAGTGATGAGTTGTGTACAGACTCGACGGGTAATAATGGATTATGACAGAAATGTTACGATCCTGTCCGTCAAAATGACTGACAACGACAAAGTATAAAGCCACCACTGCTTGGGAGAAAGAAACAATGTGATATTTGGGCCCATTTTCGCTACAATGAGGCGGAGAAAAAAAGTGAATGCATTGTTTTATCAGAAGGGAAGCAATGTGGCCATAACACAGCTGGTAAAAACACCTCAAACCTGACCAGATACTCTCTCAGAGAGTCTCTCTGCAAAGCTGCTTTCTTAATCATTCAACCTGTGTTTTTCATCAAATAAGGACAAGATATCATCTTATTGTGAAATAAGTTTGACTAAAATGACAAATGATTGGTTTTGGCTAGACTAGTTTGACTGAAATGTTCTATATAATCTGATGACTAAAAAAGACTCAACAGTTTTCATTGACAAAAAGTAGACTAAAATAATTAGTTTTCTTTGACTAAAATAAGACTAAAATGCTCAGACTTTTAGTCGACTAAATCTTGACTAAATAAAAACAGGATGAAGGTGACTAAATATGACTAAAACTAAAAAGGAAATTTAACACAGGACTAAGACTAAAACTAAATTAAAAAATAGTACCAATTGTGGTTATCAAAAGACATTGACTCAAGACGTGCTAAATGCAAACTGTGTTGTAAAATATTCGATATTTCGAATATGGGCGAGGCAGCGCTTGCTAGCCACATGAAAGAAAGAGTCATTTTTTTGGGTCATGAAAAATGAGGTAAAGGTCATGGAGAAGTCATTGAAAATCATTGGTGAAAAAGTGTATGAACCCTGATATAATATTTGACATTTTCCACTTAGCATGGAAACCCTTCTCTGCCAGTTATCAGGATAATTTACAAAAAGATAATGTCCAAATATGACCTAAGGATCTTAAAAATAATGATATAACAATTTAAAATATGAATTAAGAATCTCAATTTGAATGACTAAAGATCTTAAAAATAATGACTTAGTATTTCAAAATAATGATATTTATGAAATAATTGTATATTTAAGAATGACATTTAAGAGTCACAAAGTATCTGAAAATAATGCTTATTTATTTCAAAATTATGACTCAGTATTTAAGAATAATGACAAATCTCAAAATAATGACTTAATATCTCAAATGAATGATTAAGAATTTCAATATGTATGTAACATAGTATTTTAAAATAAAGACTTAGTATCTCAAATAAATAACTTAATATCTCATGCATCTAATCTATATATCTTTTTTGTTTTTGTTTTTAGAGTTATTCTGAAAGTAATATCAGTTTTCATCTTGTTTTCTTCTTAGCTGGCAAAAATGGGCTTTCATACAATAGTAAACAAACACTATAGATTATTTGAGAAACAAATTGATAATGATTTACCTATATTTACAACATGTTTCCATTTGAATGTCTGAGTCTACTGTTATACTATTTTAAATGGAGGGATATTAAGAATGACTTGTTGTGTTAACAGACAGAAAGAAGGACCTCAGTAAGATGAAGAGTCTGTTGAACATCCTGACGGATCCAAACACCAGGTAACAGTTGATCCTCGACGACAACACCAACAACAACACCACCACACAGTTTTTCTTGTGAATAAAATGTGTATCCTCTGAGCTTTAGGTGTCCTCTGAAGACGCTACAGAAGTGTGAAATCGCTCTAGAGAAGCTGAAGAACGACATGGCCGTGGTAAGAAAACCTTTTCTCACTTAACATTAACAATAATTACCTGCCCATTCATATTTAGAAGAAGGATGATTCATCTTCACTTCTTATCGTCTCCACCTAAAAGGACCTGTGCACTATCTTTGCTTTTGTATTAACAATTCAAATCTGCGTAACATGGTTTGAAAGCTACATAATAAGCTAATTAACAGACAGGACACTTTAATCTTATACTCAAATGTATTGATCACGGAGAAGATCGAGTTGTAGCATAGCAAATCTAAAGCCAACTGTTTAAAGGTGGAGTAGGTAAGTTTGAGAAACCGGCTCGAGTGCGCTAGAATTTGAAAATACACAACCGGAGAAAATCTGCCACTTCCTTACAGAGCCCCTCCTCCAACACACACGAACGCGCACATGACCAATGAGGGCACGAGATAAGTTTGTGCACAGATGGAAGGCTGACAGGCAGGTAGGCCATCCAGTTATTTTAGCCGGGCCGGCTAAAATGATTGGTCGTACTTTTTACAGTACTACGGCTTCCACAGATGACATTTTTTTATGGATTTTTTGTCAAAGCACTTAAGATATTCATTGCTATCGGGATGTTAAGAGCATTCCATGGAATATAACAAAAAGTGTATCTCGAGCCGGTTTCTCAAACTTACCTACCCCACCTTTAATGTAAGTTGATTGAAAGATGCCTAAACGATAAATGATGGCCATTGGTGCGTTCACAAAAATATTTATCATCAGGAATGTGGATATAATGACTAAGCGGCTAAAGGCAAATAATACAAATTGGAAATGTCCATCACTTATGCTGCCTTCAAACCAGGAATAGAGACTTTTCATATAACCCAGTGTTTCCCATACATTGATTCATTTGTGGTCGCCACAATTAAATATCGTTTGATATTTAAGGGGGGGTGGATGTGTGGGCCACCCGAATAGGTTAAGGGGCCTTTGGCTTTTCTTGCCGGGGGGGGGGGGGTGCCCCCACAAATAGAATCAAATTCTGTGGGAAACACTGTAACCATATTGAATATAATATGTATATTATAAATATTGTAAAGAATGTGGAGTTTGAATGTGTTGCATACGGTAGCCGAAAGGTGCAAATGCCCAAAACACTTCCATGAGGAGAAACGCCCTGCAGTTTTAAAAACAATGCAAATATAAAAACACTAACGTCCAAAAACACACGTGTGACGCACACAGCTGGGACCGGAGCGCTTGTTGATGTTTCAGGGATTATAAAGTTGTCCCCTGGTTTGCGTTGTGTTTTGAGCTTCTTGCTGCTTAATTTTGTATTTGCAGCGTTTCGTTCATGCAGCGCTTTTAGTAAACGATGCGCATGTTCCATCAAGTTGGTGAAGTGTTTCTCCTAATGAAAGTGTTTAGGGTCGTTGTAGCATGTTTGCACCTGTCGGCCGCCATAGTTAAATATAGACCCCAGCAAGAATAGATGATACCGCGGTAACTAATGTGGATCCAAAATAGTAAGACAAGTATTTACCTAGGTGTATGAGTATTTAAAGTAGGCGTTTGAGAATCAGTCACATTTCTTTTTTATGCCAAATATTTCAGGGTTATAATGATGCTCATTTCAGTTTTTGCTCTTCTTCAGCCTAATGTTCTCAGCCTCATTACACTATTTTAATGTTTTTTTAATGCACCTTATTAACCGTTGAAATGATCCCATTTGCATATATTGATTTTCCCTGCTTTCCCTAATTATTTTCAAAATGAGAATTTTTAGGAATAAGTATAATTATTGTGGACTAAATGACCAGGTACATTTTTTAATGATTTAATATGGGTAAAGTGGTTAAAGCAAATAATGGAACAGGTGGATTCTGTGAGCTTGTAAAACACTGAGAATGTTGATAAATAATTATAGTTATTGTGTTTAATAGGGCTGCCCTCAACTCAAGATGTATCTAGTTGACCAGTAGCCGTCAATTAAGGTGATTAGTCGACACGTCGTTGCACGTTTATGATATATATTTATTTTTTATTTCCAAAAAATGTTTTCAGTTCCAGGGCTGAAAGAACATTATTCATAACATCATGGTACGTTGTCGTACATATAGAAGATAGTATAGATCTGTAACAATGAGCCTTTGAAATATAATTGTAATTTTACACGTGGAAATAAGTCCCAGCTCCAGAAATGATCCTTAATGTGTGTGTGAACAAGCAGCGGGACACACACACTGAACATTTAGTTAATGTGTTCTCTCAACACAGTATAACATATACTGTACATCGTCACACACACAACTTGTGTATGTGTATCTAAGTTTTAGCACCAACAGAATAACTCAACAAATGATAATAAAAAAACGTTAGTGAAAATCAACATTACCATATATTTAAACTGTGAATAAATGAATCAAATCAATAATACACAGCAAACGGAAACACTGTGCATAACGCCCTCATTATGGAACGAAAACTTCAAAGCCGTTTTTTTTTTTTTTAAAGATCCGATGTTGATGTGGTAGGTGACTTTTCCGCTGCAGAGTTAGCACAACACCTTCTTACGGTCGTCCTTTTTACACTTTCAAAAATGATCCCACAATTTGGATTTCCTGACCGACAAAATAACCATAATAACCAGGCGCAGCTCTGAATGAAGCGTGACGGGTCTTCCAGCTCAAAGCACAAGCAGCGCCCGGATAGAGTTTTATTTATTTTCTCCTGCGACTAATAGACCAATGAAGAATTGCTCGACTAGGAATTGTTTAGCCGACTAACGATTAGTTGCTTAATTGGGTGCAGCCCTAGTATTTGATGACTAAGTGAAAAATGAAAGCACTTTACGGTAATGCAGCTTGTGAAACCAGGAATCACTACGCCAGGGGGGCCCAAACTTTGTTCACTGAGGGCCACATACAGAAAAACATACTAAGGGCTGGGCCCCTCACTAGAGGTGGGGTATATTGTCTCATAAGTTAAGTTTAAAAAATCAATCAAATGTATGTAAATGATGCTTGATACTTAAATATGCTTTGAGAAAACAGCTCTCCATAGGGTTTCATTTATTTAGTTAGAAACAGTGTTAGCAGCTCGTTCCTTAAACAGAGGCTCGTGCTCTGCCTTCACAGCCATGTATAAAGGGGGGAGAAAGTGAAATATGAAGGGTATATTTCAAGCTTGTTATGCAGGTTTAATTGACTGAATGTATTTGTGGGCTTATTAACACATGGGTACTATTATATGTTTATATTATAATGTATATATTTTTTTTTAAGAAGTACAATATAAGACAATCCCAAGTTTCAGGTGTGGGTCATATTCCATTATACGTTTGGAATCTGCTCAACAACGGGCCGTAGTTTGGACGCCCCTGCACTGCGCTCTGTTACTAACTGTTTGTTAATCCACCCTGGTACCTTGTTAACATTGAACGTTTTGTGGATGTATTGTGGCTGCAGTCTCAGTGTGTGCCTGTTGTTTCAGCCGACCCCCCCGCCCCCCCCAGTGCCCACCAAGCAGCAGTACCTGTGTCAGCCGCTGCTGGACGCCGTCATGGCCAACATCCGCTCGCCGGTCTTCAACCACTCGCTGTACCGAACCTTCGCCCCCGCCATGACTGCCATCCACGGCCCCCCCATCACGTATGTGTCCCCCCCCCACTCTGCAGTACATCTGCAGTACATTCAAGTTCTGGTCACATACAAATAAAACACTGGAGTACTTCTCTACAGTATAATTAGTAGACAACTGAGTACTCTGGATTAACAGAGACTGGTGTTTAAGTGGTATTTAAAACATAATTTGTAATGCTTTTGACTAGTGCTGGGCTATATTTAGATATAATATTAATATTGTGAAAAGAGACTAGACACCATGTGAGGATTTTGGATATCCTCACATTACAAATGTGTATTTTTGTCCTGGTTTTAAAAGCTGTTTACATGTCATTTTCTAAACTCAGACTATTCTGCTTTTTGCCTTTACCCACAAAGTCATTTATATTCATTTATATTCAGTTATAATGATTAATTAGACAATTAGCATATTTTAATTTTAATACAAGACATATATAAAAGTTTAACTGAATAAAAAATATATAGAATTAGAAATGTCCGAAAGTTGAAAAAGTGACTCATTCAAATGTCTAAAAATACAAATAATAGAAAACAGAAACGGAAGTATGATTTTTTTATTTTTATTTCTGCTTCAAAAACAAGTAATCAATTATTAAATAAATAGAATAATTATCTTTTAACCAATCTACTCTCTAATTCTAGATGTATGCACTAATGTGATTATGAATCAAGGTATTAATCATGATAAATCACCAGAGGGGGGAGAAGTACTCAGATCTTGTACTTGAGTAAAAGTACCAGAGAGTAGGAATACTCTGCTACAAGTAAAAGTAAAAAAGTATTAGCATCAAAAGTACCGACAGTAAAAGTAGTGATTCTTCAGATTGGTCCATTTCAGAATAATATATATGATATGTTTTATAATGATTGATCATGAAAGTGTTCTCAAAGCTGGTAAAGGTGCAGCTAGTTTGAATGACTTTGTATACTGCAGGGTAGCTTGTGAATTTACTCCAGGTGGAACTAAAGTCTGAGTTAACACTTGATTATATTTCACATCATTCATCCACATCTGGAAAGTAACTAAAGGTTAAATACATGTATTGGAGTAAAAGTACACCATGTACCTCTAAATTGTAGTGAGTAGAAATTAGGGCTGTCAAGTTAACGCGTTAATAACGCGTTAACGCAAAAAAAAATGAACGCCACTAATTATTTTAACGCGATTAACGCATGTGTATTTTGTGTCCTCGGTCGCCCCGTAGTTTCAGAGCGCATCAAGTTTAAAATACCATCTTCAAGCTGATGCTGACAGCCCCGCTCCTGCCGCCCGCTTGTGGCAGACCACACTTCCACGCTCACCAGCAGGCCCGGACTGGCCATCGGGAGGACCGGGAGGGTGTGTGTATGTGTGGCGCGACTCGCGAGCGAGGCACACCTTACGTGTTGTTGTTGTTGTTGTTAGCATCTGGTGCTAGCTAGCTGCGCTAACGGATATAAGGAGCTGTTTCAATGAAAACAGAGGAGCGACATTTCGCCGACAACTGCGCCGAGCACTTGACTTAATGCAGGTAGCCAGACAGTGGGACATTGTACGAAAAGTCAGCACACTCACCACGGATAGTGCGCGCAACATGATTGCAGCGTCCAGGCAGCTCCCATTGGAGCATATATGCCTTGAGCTGCACATAGCTCCAACGATCCATCACAGTGTCTCCACACACACACACACACACACACACACACACACACACACACACACACACACACACACACACACACACACACACACACACACACACACACACACACACACACACAGTATTATTGTATGAGAGAGGTTCCAGGTTGAATTGAGGCGAATATTTGTAATGTTCAGGTTGTTGTGTTTAATATTCATGAGAATATTTATCATTGTTCAAATAATAATAAACAAACATATAAAGCATAGTTGTCCACTCATATGTTGATAAGAGTATTAAAAACTTGAAAAATATCCCTCTAAGGTACATTTAGAACAGATAAAAAATGTGCGATTAATTTGCGATTAATCGCGATTAACTATGGACAATCATGCGATTAAATATTTTAATCGACTGACAGCCCTAGTAGAAATACATAAAATGGAAATATTCATGTAAAGTACAAGTACCTCCAAATTGTACTTTAAGGTGGGGTAGGTAAGTTTGAGAAACCGGCTCGAGATACACTTTTTGTTATATTCCATGGAATGCTCTTAACATCCCGATAGCAATGAATATCTTAAGTGCTTTGACAAAAAATCCATAAAAAAATTCATCTGTGGAAGCCGTAGTACTGTAAAAAACACGACCAATCATTTGGCTAAAATGATTGGATGGCCTACCTGCCTGTCAGCCTTCCATCTGTGCACAAACTTATCTCGTGCCCTCATTGGTCATGTACGCGTTCGTGTGTGTTGGAGGAGGGGCTCTATAAGGAAGTGGCAGATTTTTTCCGGTATGTATTTTCAAATTCTAGCGATCTCGAGCCGGTTTCTCAAACTTACCTACCCCACCTTTAAGTGCAGTACTTGAGTTAATATACTTAGTTACTTCCCATCTTTGTAAATAACTTATTATTTTGTTATCAACACGATTAAAGTTTGATCGATTGACAGCTCTAATTGAAATGCATAAAAAGACCGGGGTGAAGAAAGATTTAAGAGTTGCATAAAAAGTAAAAGTAAAGGAAGGTTGTGTTTCTGGTCCTCAGGGGTCCCAACGTGACAGGCAGGAAGAGGAAGCACGAGGAGGACGAGCGGCAGACCATCCCCAACATCCTGCAGGGGGAGGTGGCCCGGCTCGACGTCAAGTTCCTCGTCAACCTGGATCCCGCCTTCTGCAGCAACAACGGCACCGTGCACCTCGTCTGCAAACTGGGTCAGTAGTCTGTCTGCCAGCAAATGTTGAGTACCCCAAAGTTTACTGATAGAAATGTATAGGGTCCCCAGCTCATAGAAATTGCCGGATGCTAACTTGCATATGTTGGGCAATTGGCATAAGTAGCATTAGTTAGCATATGCAGACAATAGCTAAGAAATGAGTGGGCTGATTTTGATTAATTTTGGGTCAATTTTTTACTTCTAGGGGACTCAAAACTGCATTTTTGATCCTATAAATATCAGTAATGGATACAACATCCTTAATATACATACAAAACCACACCAAAACTGTCCAAATCAGCCAAGACATTTTTTAGCTATCGTCTGCATATGCTAATTGTTGCAACTAATGCTAATAGTGCAAATTGCCCAACATATGCAAGTTAGCATCCGACAGTTTCGATAAGATAAAATAAGATGGACCTTTATTAATCCCCGTAGGGAAATTCAGTAGTTTAACAGCAACAGGGTAAGAATGACAAACAGGACAGCACAGATTCACACAGATTCATAACATTCAAGATACAATCAAAGATCCAAATACAATTATATACAGTTAAGTAACTATAGAATAAGACATTAATTCAAATGAACATGTATACATATTGGGTCATATATACATATTAGATATATTTACATGTATGTGTAAAAATAGTGTGTATATCTATGTGCTGCTGACCAATACTATACATTTCTAACATAACACTTTGGGGTACAACATTTCCAGGTTCACACTGCTGGCAAGTATTCTGGATGGGAGCACAAGCTTTAAAGAAGGGATTATGCTGGGAAACCCTGGGCTTGCAGGATGTTCTTCTAATTCTGTGTGTGTGTGTGTGTGTGTGTGTGTGTGTGTGTGTGTGTGTGTGTGTGTGTGTGTGTGTGTGTGTGTGTGTGTGTGTGTGTGTGTGTGTGTGTGTGTGTGTGTGTGTGTGTGTGTGTGTGTGTGTGTGTGTGTGTGTGTGTGTGTGTGTGTGTGTGTGTGTGTGTGTGTGTGTGTGTGTGTGTGTGTGTGTGTGTGTGTGTGTGTGTGTGTGTGTGTGTGTGTGTGTGTGTGTGTGTGTGTGTGTGTGTGTGTGTGTGCTGTGTGTGTGTGTGTGTGTGTGTGGTGTGTGTGTTCTCAGATGATAAAAACCTTCCCAGCGTTCCTCCTCTGCAGCTCAGCGTTCCTGCAGATTATCCCGACCAGAGTCCGTACTGGGCCGACGACGGGGACCGTTACGGTGAGAGCACTTCTTATTTAATCATTGATGCCTCTAAGGTAGCAAGCCACCTGGGTTCATTCAGTGGTAACATAAGGGCAAACATAAAAAACCTTGGTGTAACTTTCGATCAGTCTATGCTACTAGACAAACACATCAAACTTCTGACCCGTACCTGTTTTTTCCATCTCAGAAACATTGCCAAGCTCAGGGGGGTTCAATCAAACACAGAAATGGAGATGGCTATCCATGCCTTTATTTCATCCCGGCTTGATTACTGTAATGCTCTGTTCTCCTGCCTCAACAAAACATCAATAAACCGGTTACAACAGGTCCAACATGCTGCAGCCAGATTGCTCACTCGGTCCAAAAAAACATGCCACATCACTCCGATTCTTTCTGCCCTGCACTGGCTCCCTGTCCATCTCAGAACCCAATTCAAGGTTTTGGTCTTCACTTATAGAGCTGTCCATGGCCAAGCCCCAGCCTACATTAACGACCTGATCCTCCCTCATAGCACAACCCGGGCCCTGAGGTCCTCTGAGCAAGGCCTCCTAAGGGTGCCCCGAACCAGGCTAAAAACTAAGGGGGACCGTGCCTTTGAGGCGGTGGCCCCAAGGCTTTGGAACAAACTCCCCCAGAAATGAGATAGAGATTTTTAAGGGGCAGTTAAAGACCCACCTCTTCCGACAGGCCTTTGGGGCGTCGGAGGAGGTGAGTTAGTAGCTGTCTTTTATTGGTGTTTTATCGTATGTATTACCTGCTGCTGTTTTATGCCTTTTTATGCCTTTTATTCTACATTTTAGTTGTACTGTGAATTGTGTACTGTACTGTAAAGCACTTTGTACATTCGTGTTGAGAAGGGTGCTATATAAATAAAGTTGTACTTACTTACTTAATCAGGGGTAATGTGACAAATCAAAGATGAAAAGTACAAAATAAGCTGTTTATGTTAATGAGGTATTAAATACAAAGTCTCTGAAACTGCTCACAGTAAAACATGTTTGCTCCAGCTAAAATAATAATACACCATCATCTTGTTGTTCTTTGTCCTGAATGTATGCTACGGTTATTTTGTAGATACTTGATGGTTAAATGCTGTGAAAAGTCAGAAAAAGCCCAAGGCCATGACAAAAATCTGCAATACTAGCATGCAAATATTTCACATCTTTGAAGTTTTAAAAAACTGATTGACATATATTTAATAGAAATATGATATTGGGAGATCAGCATTAATGTTGTGATTGGTCAACCGCTTAGAGCTGTTCCGCCTCTTTACAATGTGTTGGAGCACTAGCCAATAGAAGCACAAGTGTTACATAGTGATGTCACTATGTTCCGGAAGCAAACAAAGGAGTCCAATGGTGGCGTTTCAGGCAGGGGGGTTGGGGGGGGGGGTGTGTGAGAGAGTAAACTCCCTCTGGAGAACACACCATTCACATGCAGAGAAACCTAAATAACACACTACAGGAAAGAGAAAACAAAAAAGAATAATAATAGGGAGCTAGTTAGAATTAGCATTTAGCTGCCAGTGCTATTAAGTAACTATATGATTCATTCATGCTTAAAAATAAAATTAGAATAAGGAGAAAGTGAATTAGAACATTATCATGATGTGTTCAAATGTAGTCTCTTAAAGTGAGTTGTTTGAAGGAAAGCTAATATTATCAAAGCTAATATTTTAATGCACAATATTTGCCTCCTGTTTGAGAGAAAAAATTGGAACAACAGCTTGCTGGTTGAGCAACATTAAACCTTAACTCTCATTAATTATAATATTCTGATCATGATTATGTATTAACATCAAAATATATGATGTTTGTCTGTGACAAACTGTTTATGCCGTCATTTTACGTGTATTTCTTCGTCTTCAGATCTCTCTATAAACTGAGATGCTGATCATGATCTACTTGAATAACAGATGAAATAAATGTGTTGTTGATCACATGACCCTGTGCTCCTCCAGACGCCAACAACTTCCTGAAGACGGTGCACAGAAACATGACGTCCAAACTGCTGCAGCTCCCCGACAAACACTCTGTGACGGAGCTGCTGAACACCTGGGCGCAGAGCGTCCGGCAGGCCTGCCTGTCTGCCGCCTGAAGCCCCGCCCACTTCTGTCTGAAGCCCTGCCCACCATTGCCTGATGCCCCACCCATCACCTGACCCAACCTGCAGACACCTCCTCCTCTCTGTGTTCACACCAACCATTGCATCATTTCCGCTAACTTGCTTTACTGAGTTACTCCATCATGATGGCTATTTGTAAAGAATCTGACTCAATGCAGGACCAAATAGCTTTTGGAATGCTTGTTTTCTCAATGGAGCTTGATCGTGGCTATGCTAACACGTTAGCTGCCTAAGATAACCTCTAAATACGGCAGCGATGTTATTGTTTATACATAGAGATATTAGGCGTGCCGAAGTATTTACCCGGTGTTTCATGGACAAACAGCAATTACATTACTCAGGAATAAAACCCATTTGGTGAATAATCGCTGAGGAGTTCAAGGCCCACGTGAATAACCAAAAAACTGAACTTTGTAACGCATCAGGGCTACAGTAAAGAGAAAATCAGGGAGAGTTTACTGACAAGACCATGGCAGTATCTAGGTTTAACCAAATGCTAAAAGAAAAACTGATAAAGTCAGTAAAATGTTGGTATTTTCTTGTGTGGAGGACGTGCAAAGTAAGCATTCTGAGAGTCCGAAAAATATATTTTTCTTGCTAAATGTCTACTGTAAGTACAGTGTAAGTTATCCGGTGGCCAATGTTCCTCACCCTGGCATCCCTTAAATATATTTCTATGTATAATGTGCATCTCTAAAATGATATAAACTCCACCGCATTTAACAATGACAATAATCTTTCCTTTATTTCTAATTTAACGTCACGCACTTCTCCTTCGAATAGGGAGACACGTCTTTGCATTGACGTTGATCAGGAAAAAAAACCATTTAATTTATAAAGCACTTTTTAAGAACCCAAATAAAGTATACAATAACAAACATTTCATAAAAGCAAACACAAAAACAAGATTCATTGATTAGTATAAGAAAATAGTAATCATGAAACAGAAAGCAGTGTAATCTGGTTTGGTGTGGACACAGCGTGAGTCGTCGTCCCCATACACTACAGAACCTGCAGGACTTTTCCTCGTCATACATGTGCAGCTGTCCCCTGAATGCCCCGTGACTGATATCTTGTATTCTGATCCCGACATTTCTCTTGATGCATTCTGGGTAAATTCAGACGTTTGCTCGGCTGCAGAAATGACTTCTTCCACGCTGCATTCAGAAGTCCCATAGACAGAGAGCAGATTTTAGCAGCTTGTATATAACATGAACACAAAAAGGGAAAAAAACAGTAACCGGACCGCCTGAAAGGTCATTTATCCCGATCTATATTCTGCTCCCTGAATGCATCACATTGCTTCTGTTTATTCTGTTTCCTGTTTGAGATGTCATTTCAGTTTTGTACCACAGAAGAGCGCTGTTGTAAAGAAAAACTCTACTTTGCTTTTCAAATGAAAATATAAACATATTTTTTTGCTATCATGAATAAAAACTTTTCAGTTCAACTTTTTAAATATAGAAACTGTTTCAGTCACTGAAGATAATATGTACTTTTCTGCAACAGCTTCAGGTTCACTGTTGTTGGATTAAAGCAACAATCATTTAACATTTGTTATAAAAACATCAGCTTTATAATTGCTGGATGTAGAGAAGGTAGTTAAAAATAACAAATATTAATCTCAACAAGAATCTCTGAAATCTTAAAATAATTGGTAATTATAATTTACAAAATATGCCATTAACGTCACTTAAACAAACCCTATTCTGCTCATTTTCAGGTTCATAATTATGTTGTGCCTCTGTGACATGTCCCCATGCGCTAATGTTCAAAAAGCTCTTTATTTTTCTCATACTGCCTGTGCTGCAGCACCTCTTTTCACCCTCTGTCTGAAACCAGAGCCCAGTCTGCTCTGATTGGTTAGCTGGCCGGCTCTCTTGTGATTGGTCAACTGCTTAGAGATGTTCCGCCCCTTAGCCTATCATTTATGATGTGTTGAAGTGCTAGCCAATCGAAACGCCAGTGTAACATAGTGATGTCACTATGTTCAGGAAGTAAACAAGAGTCCAATGGAGGTGTAGCAGGAGGGGAAAATAAAAACAACAATATATAAATATTCCCTCCCTGATCCGATGGGGAGTGGCTAAACAAGCCACACCTGAGAGCTGGAGGAAGCTAATTAGACAAGTAAGTCACAGCTGTGAGCTGTGGAGGAGAGGAGACACTGAACTCCAGAAAATGGAAGAAGTGGAAGTCTGATGCAGCTTAATAACCCAGTTGGATGTTTGGGGAGTGTTTCTGGTCGTACTGAACCCAGGAGCTCCAACATCCTCCTTTGACCTGCATTCCCGGCCTGCTAGGACTTCAAGGTACGTTTTTCTCTGCATCCTTACAGATTCTCATTTCCCGCCCCCACCCCTTAAAACCCTACACTCAACTAGTGTGTTATAGGTTGCACAACAACCTATAACACACTACAGGGAAGGGAAAACCCAGAACGCAGAATAGGGTCCCTTTAAATGTTGATGTCTCATAGATAAGAACATAGGGAAATATTTTATGTTCAAATGAACATTTTGACTTTTTTTTCTCTCTAAAGCCACGTCATTTGTTTTTTTCCTCAAATGTTGGTTATTGTAAAGCCTTTCTATTTAATTCAGAATTACATTATACATATGTTTTAAATATAACTTTGAAGGAACCTTGTAGATCAGGGGTGTCAAACTAAATTTCATCACGGGCCACATCAGCATTTTGGTTGCACTCAAAGGGCCGGTTGTAACCTGTATGAAAATACATATGTAAATATTTAATATAAACGTATGTATTATATGACATTATTGCCTCTGCATTGGATCATTATCGGATAGGGTAATAACTTCATAATTAACTACGTCTGAAAGCAGAAGTCTAGGGCAAATCATTGGAAGTCTCTTCAGTGAGAATGTCACAATGATTTTTTCAAAAAAAATTGAAAATGTAAAAAAAGGTGAGATTTTGAAGAAAGAAAAGTCAAATTCTGGGAAAAAAAGTCAAATTCTGAAAAATAAAATCATATTTGAGATGCATTGTGGGACATGTAGTTTATGGGCAACGTGCTTCTGTAAATAGGCATGTAACCGTATAATAAACGTATTATATTCTTTCAGAGCTCTTGTGGGGCCGCATTAAATGAAGTCGCAGGCCGGATTTGGCCCCCGGGCCTTGAGTTTGACACCCCTGTTGTAGATAATGAACATAATAATTATAAAAACTGTATAAAATGAGACATATTTTATTATTTTCAGACTAAATGGTACAAAAGTTGTCAGGTGATTTTCCAACAAAGAAATACAGATATTCATACATCATTAAACGTACGTGTGGGTGTGTGTGTGTGTGTGTGTGTGTGTGTGTGTGTGTGTGTGTGTGTGTGTGTGTGTGTGTGTGTGTGTGTGTGTGTGTGTGTGTGTGTGTGTGTGTGTGTGTGTGTGTGTGTGTGTGTGTGTGTGTGTGTGTGTGTGTGTGTGTCAGAAGCTGAGGGAGAAGGCTCTGTACGACAGGTTGGTGAACACGTCGATGTGATTGCTGCTGCCTCCCACCGTCAGCATCTGCACAGAAAATACAAACATTTATTCATCTTTTATTTAATATATTCAGTATTCTGGATCAGTGTCTTGTCTACTCTAAACATGCAATATATTTTAGAGAAAATAATCCCTCCACATGGTCAGAATATCTCTCATCCCTTTAAGAACCCAAAGACACAACTGTCTGTTTTATTTGTTCCATGTCCTTTATATATGTTGCATTGTAACTTGTCAAAAATATCATTTTTTAACACTTCAGGAGCAAAAAAGGGCTCACTCCACAAAAACAAAAAAAACCATATGTTTCAGGTGATTATAACTACGGTGTCTGACAGGTGCAAACGCGAAAAAGATAACTGTCGCAAAAACATTTACATTAGGTTTACGAGCTGCACCTTCAGAAATTATGTGAATATAAAAACACTAATGTGCCCAAACGCATACAAATGAAGAATCATCTTCACCATCTTGACAACCCATGCAAAGCGTTTAGTAAAAGCGCTGCAAATACAAAACGCTGCAAGAAGCTGCAGAACGGAAGAGCGACACTAAAAAGTGACGGACACAGCCGGGACCGGAGTGCTTGTTGAGTTGGCCAACTGTCGCTGTTCAAAAAAGCCAATAATACGTACATGTTAAGTACGTTTCCAACAACAAAGCTATCACATGATTGCTTCTGATATTATTGCAGATTAGCTGTAAAATGGCTAGCTATAGCTAACCTAATATTTTCAAATATCCTGACAAAACACTTACAATTATGGAACAGACTCACTCTGCCAACAGGGAAAGTTGGCAAACTTTATAATCCCTGCACATCAAAAAGCGCTCCGGGCCCAGCTGTGTGCGTCTCTTTTTGGGGTCCCCGTGTCCGTTGTGTTTTAAGCCTCTTGAAGCATTTTGTTTATGCAGCGCTTTTAGTAAACGCTGCAGATGTTTCCTCAAATTGGTGATGATGTTTCTTCATTTGCATGTGTTTTGGCACATTTGTGTTTATATATTTGTATCGTTTCTGAAGCTGCACGTTTGCACCTGTGGGTCCCCATATTATACACCAATAAAAACCCAATAACTTGCGGTGCATTCACTGTCTCACTGTGAAGTAACCGCAGATGTAACATGTATGTTATTTAACTTGTGGTACGTTCAGTTGCTCGCTGTGATATATAACTTGTGGTGCGTTCAGTGTCTCACCCGGTGCTCTGCGCTGTTGGTGTTGAGCTGCAGCGTGTTGAGGCTCTGTGGCGTACAGGGGATCTGAGCCTTGACCTCCCCCCCCAGGAGACAGTGAGCCACAGACGGGCCCTCCCCCACAGCCAGGATCTACAGAGGAGGAAGGTAGGATGTACATGTTTTAATTAATACTCAGTTTAAACATAAAAAGGTGTAATAAAGAATAATAATACACAATTAAAAAGCTAGTACTTTATTATTTCATGGAGTCACAGTATCCACAGCATTGTGCTGCTAATATTTCAGAATAAAAGCCTTAACAACTGAAGAGATATTGTCCACGGAAAAACACGAAAGGGCTTTTATTTTGAAACCGAAAAGTTTAGTTAAAATGTAAATGTTTACTTTTCTCATGTCTGACGTATTCTACAGAGATTAAGACATTTAGACTTTAGCATTTGTTTTCATGTTTATTTTCTTTTAGACTTTTCAATTGGATTTGGTTATCCAGTGGATAATCTCCACATAAAACTTGTATAATGATGAAATGTCAATGAAATAACCAGAAGTTCAAAGCTAACGTTATGCTATAAACAAATTACATCTTGGTCAGGTCTTCACATCAACACCACTAACGTGTGCAACGCGGGGTCTCACCATGTCCTGGTAGAAGGACGTCTGTCTCTGGCAGCCCGTCAGAGGGAAGATGGAGGTCGGGGACAGAGAGCGGAGATGCCACAGAGACAGAGACGGACCTCCACCACACAGCTGCAGAACACAACCACACCATTAGCACTGAAAGAGTTTTCATTGGGGATAATCATAAGGAAAATAAAACTACAATTAATTAATAATTTTTAGTTCCTTACCATCCAGTCTGAGTCGGTGGTCAGACAGCTGATCCATTTACCGTACTGAGGTCGAGCACAACTCTGAAACACACCAGTCTGTTCATTTTTCTACCGTTTTAAAGACTTTTACAAATGCAGAGCTGATGGGAGGATGACTTTGAGATGCAGCTACATATAAAGAACAGAGATGGAAGGAGGAAAGGAAGGTGAGCAAGAGGAGCAAAAAATAAAAGGGAGGAAGAAAGGAAGAATATGAAGAAGAGAGGTGAAAGAATAAAGGAGATGAAGTAAGAGTTCAAATCTGCTGCTCCAATGTAAGGTGAAACACATTTTTTCAAAAGTTAAATTCGTTTTTTTAAGAGATACTTGCTATATACAGTGGAGGAAATAATTATTTGATCCCTTCTTTGCCCACTTACAAATAAATGAACAGTCTATAATTTAAATGGTAGGTTTATTTGAACAGTGAGAGTAAGAATATCAAAAAGAAAATCCAGAAATTGACATTATATAAAAGATAGAAATTGATTTGCATTTAACTGTGGGAAATAAGTATTTGATCCCCTTGCAACCAACAAGGACTCTGGCTTCCACAGACCGGTTAAATAAGTCCTCTTCCTTTAAAAAAGTACTCGTATCAACTTGTTACCTGTATAAAAGACACCTGTCCACAGAATCAATCAATCAGATTCCAACCTCTCCACCATGGGCAAGAGCTGTCTAAGGACCTCAGGGACAAGATTTTCCCTGAGATCAGCACCCTCTGATGACTGCACAAGGCTGGGATCGGCTACAAGACCATCAGAAAGCAGCTCGGTGAGAAGGACACAACTGTTAGTGCCATTATTCGGAAATAGAAAAAGACAAAATGAGCATCAGTCGCCCTCGGTCTGGGGCTCCACACAGGATCTGGCCCCGTGGGGTATTGATGATGATGAGAAAGGTGAGGGATCAGCCAAGAACTACACGGAGGAACTTGTTAATGATCTCAAGGCAGCTGGGACCACAGTCACCAAGAAAACTATTGGTAACACACCACACCATAATGGATCAAATCCAGCAGCGCCTGAAGGCCCCCTGCTCAAGAAGGACATGAAAGGACCGTCTGAAGTTTGACAAGGAACATCTGAATGATTCAGAGAAGGCTTGGGAGAAGATGACGTGGTCAGAGGAGACCAAAATGTTGATCTTTGGCATCAACTCGACACGCCGTGTTTGGAGGAAGAGAGAGAGACCAACTACAAGAAGCGTCTGACCTCTGCTGTCCAACAAGGGTTTCTCCACCAAGTACTAACAAGGGGATCAAATACTTATTTCCCAGTTAATATAATGTCAATTTCTGGATTTTCTTTCTTATATTCTTTCTCTCATTAGGCAAACTTACAAAATCTGCAAGGGATCAAATACTTATTTCCTCCACTGTGTATATATATATATATACACAGCTCTGAAAAAAATTGAGAGACCACTACAAATATTTCTTAAATCTCAATCTCTACATGTATGGCAGCATTCCATTCCAGTGTCTATTGAATTCCAACACACAGAAATGTTGTCAGTAGTTTATAGAATAAAAAAAAATCATTTTACTCAAACACATACCGATAAATAGTGAATCCAGAGAAACAGATAATGCTGCAGTGGTCTATTTATCTTTCCAGAGCTGTATATATATATATATATATATATATCAGTATCAGGCGTTAAAGCTGTGGGCTGTTCCCTCACCTCGTACTTGTAGATCTCGACGCAATGCACAGACTGACCCGTCCTGCTGTCTGGAATACAAATCGGAGAAATTAACAATACGTTTACAGTCTGCTGCTAGATGAGACATTACTTATCACTGACAACAATAATAATAATAAGGGGAAGAAGAAGAAAAGGTGACTCACCCCACATCCTCACAGCTCCGTCCTCCCCCCCAGACAGGATCTCTGCCTCCCTCTCTCTCACACTCAAACAGTGCACGTAGTCTGAGTGTCCCTGCAGCACCGCCTGCACACACACACACACACACACACACACACACACACACACACACACACACACACACACACACACACACACACACACACACACACACACACACACACACACACACACACACACACACACACACACACACACACACACACACACACACAACACACACACACACACACACACACACACACACACACACACCACACACACACACACACACACACACACACATTTTTTTGAAAATAAAGTTATTTTATTTAGTTTTTGGAATATTTGTTGTTTCTTGAATAAGGTATAGTAATAGCCGTTTAAAACATTTGATATATATTTTGCATCATTTTACAATTTTCTTTAGTTCAGTTACAGTTTTATGTTACAGTTCAGTTACAGTTCAGTTACAGTTTCACTTAGGTTTTATGTATTAGGGTTACGTTTGAAAATTGTATGTATTAAGTTTAATTTTTAATTAATTTACACATTTTTTATACACGTGTAGTTAGTTTACATTTTTATATAATTTGTTTGAAGTTTTTATAGTTGTATTAAAGCAGACAGGAAGTTCTATATGGGGTTATAGGTGAGGCTGACCGGAGGCTGACAGGAGGCTTACTGCAGGCTGACAAGAGGCTGACTGGAGGCTGACAGGAGGCTTACTGCAGGCTGACAAGAGGCTGACTGGAGGCTGACTGGAGGCTGACAGGAGGCTTACTGCAGGCTGACAGGAGGCTGACTGGAGGCTGACTGGAGGCTGACTGCAGGCTGACTGGAGGCTGACTGCAGGCTGACAGGAGGCTGACTGCAGGCTGACAAGAGGCTGACTGGAGGCTGACTGCAGGCTGACTGGAGGCTGACTGGAGGCTGACTGCAGGCTGACTGGAGGCTGACTGGAGGCTGACTGGAGGCTGACTGGAGGCTGACTGCAGGCTGACAGGAGGCTGACAGGAGGCTGACAGGAGGCTGACTGGAGGCTGACTGGAGGCTGACTGCAGGCTGACTGGAGGCTGACTGCAGGCTGACTGGAGGCTGACTGGAGGCTGACTGCAGGCTGACTGGAAGCTGCATGTGAAGCTGACTCACCTTGAAGATGCCGTGCTCCAGGTCCAGGATGTGGATGTTGTTGTCTCCTCCTCCCACCACCAGACTGTTATCCTGAAACACAGAACCATCGGCCTCATACAGGGGAAGCATACTTTCACTACAGTACTATACGCAAATACAAGTCTGCAGCACAAATATTTAGAGGGAATATTCACCAAAAAAAATGCAGAATTATCAACAATTCTGACTTCATATTCTCTAGAAAAAAATTATCACATTTAGCCTCTCATACCACCACTTAGTATTAATTAAAAAATATGAGTTCATGTTTGCATAAATGTATGGTAGGGATTTTTGGGCAATTCTATTATTTACAGTACACTCACCGGCCACTTTTTTAGGTACACCTTGCTAGTACAGAGTTGGACCCGCCTTCAGGACGGCCGTAATTCTTCATGGCATAGACTCAACAAGGTGCTGGAAACATTCCTCACAGATTTTGGTGTAAATTGAGATAATAGCATCACGCTGTTGCTGCAGATTTGTCGGCTGCACATCCATGATGCAAATCTCTCGTTCCACCACATCCCAAAGGTGCTCTATAGGATTTAGATCTGAAAAAATATCCCCCCCACCATTACCCCACCACCACCAGCCTGAACCGTTGATACAAGGCAGGATGGATCCATGCTCTCATGTTGTTTACACCAAATTCAGACCTACCCTCCGAATGTTGCAGCAGAAATCAAGACTCATCAGACCAGGCAATATTTTTCCAATCTTCTATTGTCCAATATTGGTGAGCCTGTGTGAATTGTAGCCTCAGTTTCCTGTTCCTAGCTGACAGGAGTTGACGGTGTGGTCTTCTGCTGCTGTAGCCCATCTGCTTCAAGGTTCCACGTGTTGTGGTTCAGAGATGGTCTTCTGCATGCCTTGGTTGCAACGAGTGGTTATTTGAGTTACTGTTGCCTTTCTATCGTCTTGAAACCAGTCTGGCTTTTCTCCTCTGACCTCTGGCTTCAACAAGGCATTTTCTCCCAGAGATCTGCCGCTTACTGGATATTTTCCCTTTTTGGGAGCAGTCTCTGTAAACCCTAGAGATGGTTGTGCGTGAAAATCCCAGTAGATCAGCAGCTTCTGAAATACTCAGACCAGCCCGTCTGGCACCAACAACCATGCCATAAGTCCCTTATGCCCCTTTTCCACCAAACCGGTTCCAGGGCCGGTTCCGGGCTAGAGCCTGATTAAGCTCTGGTTCTTCCTGTTTCCACCGCAGCGGAGCCGCAACGGAGCTGCAACGGAGCCGCAAAGGAGCCGCCTCTAAGAGCCGAAAACCAGTTCTTAGCTGGCCACACTCAACTGCCCGGCAAGAACCAATAACTAATACTTCACGCTTACGTCGGAGGGCGAATCCCGCACCCCGCAATAACAGTTAATGGCGAATACAGCAAATACGAGTTGTAACAAGCAGTAGCGCTGAGAAAAGTGACTAGAACGCAACCACACTTACAAAAAAACCACACTTTATAAAGTCAGGCAACACTACCAGGCTTAGTGTGTTTCTGTTTATTTGTACCTTACTTTGAGCATCTGTTCGCTGTTATTGATCATTGTGAAGAGCAAGCAGACGTTTTCCTGTTGTTTTTTATTACATTACATGTTACTTGTTAGACGCTTTTATCCAAAGCGACTTACATACTCAATACTGTGGGCAATCCCCACAGGAGCAATTTGGGGTGAAGTGTCTTGCCCAGGGACACAACGACATGCTGACTGCAGTGGGGTTTGAACCTGTGACCCCCTGATCCGAACACCTACGCACAACCCACTGCGCCACATGCCTCCTCGTTTTATATTATAGCAGCTATCGGATGGAATCAATATATGAGCTGCACAGGTTGCTCACTTATGAGGATGGGGGATATTTATCAGCTGCTTGTGTGACAGTCAGACAGTGAATACTTTCAAGCGGCCGCTGCCGTGAGTTAACGGGAGACTAAACTCTGCCGTGAGTTAAAAGTAGACTAAACTCCGGTGGACGAGCAGCACTGCAGCGGTCGGTAAATGCCGCTGAACCACATTAATAAACAATGAACCACGGCACTCTGGAGAAAAGGGTCGAGAAGTAGTTATTTAATTTAATCTGGCTTCGTTTGATTAAAAGCAACACGATCATCGACCCAATGCAGTCCCCTATTGTTGTTGTTGTGAGCGGCGTTGGGGAGAAAATCAGTGACGTAAACGGTGACGTCATGAGCACCAGTCGGGCTCCGAGCGGTGGAAACATAAGTGGTGCTACAGAGAAGAACCAGTTAAGCACCAGAAAAGCACAAGAACGGTTCTTGAACCGGAACCGGTTTGGTGGAAAAGGGGCATTAAATCCCCTTTCTTCCCCATTCTGATGTGGATTGAACTTCACCAGGTCGTCTTCACCATGTCTACATGCCTCAATGCATTGAATTGCTGCCATGTGATTGGCTGATTAGATATTTGCATTAACGAGCAGTTGAACAGGTGTACCTAATAATAAAGTGGCCAGTGAGTGTATATTATATTTTACGCAGTTTTGAGTCATTATAAATATTAAATATAAATAGTTCTTAATAACTATATTAGGTGTGTGTTCTCACCCGGGTGTTTAGGACCATGGCGTTGATCTCCGGTATCTCTAGACTGGATCTTAGGAATAAAAACTTCAGTCAGCTCTTTGCTCACTTATTACAGTAACATATAATATTAAATATTATAATAAAATATGAGGTCATTCAAACAGAAAGAAAGCGTCTCTCACTTGTAGTTCGGTCTCTTTGTCCACAGAGGTTTCACATTCTGAAGAGACAAAATTAGAAAAGACTTCTTTTTTTAAGTCAAGTTTAACTAACTGAGTAACAGCAGCAAATTCAGATTTTACAACACATCATAATATAATAAAATATAAAACAAATACAGTGTATACATACAAATATATGTATATATTAAACAATAATACAATAATTATAATATCATATTATAAATACAGTGTATACATATTAAAATAATAATAATACATTTGAATAAATACAAACATTTGTTGGTCATCTTGTTATTATAAATCATTCTGATACACTTCCTTTACAAATAACTCTTTGTTCTTTGTTTTTGTACACTAAGATTGTACTTTATACAATAACTGGGCACCAAATCACTGTGAGGATGTATTTTAATAATACCAATAATAATGTAAATAGGGTCTGACCTTCTTGGTGAGGTCGCTCCAGCTCCAGCAGCTGATCTCTCCGTTTCCTGCGCTCAGGAGGTGACAGTCGGTGGAGAGGAGCGAGAACACAGGTCCTTCATGAGCTAAAAAACACACACACACACACTTTCATTATAAAAACCCCATTAATCACAACACAGATACTCAGTGAGAAAAGGCAGGAATACAGCAATGGTGACTCTTTCTCACTTTCAAAAAGTTGAACAAATGTACATATTAATATTACTCTCCACTTACTTTCGGGTTAGCTCTTATAACCAACTTTAGGCCTGATCATACATACTTTATATCCTTTTTGGACAATTTGAGACTTTTAAATGGTAGTTAATTTACAAAGTGCCACTAATGTTTGTTTTTATGAAAGTAAAATGTCCAACAAAAGAGCAAATAAAATAAAAATATTAATATAAACATAATAACTTAAAGTAAAAACATAAACAGGTTTATTAGAATATATACAGAGGTGTATTATTACACCTCTGTATAAAACTATCGTTTCTAGGACATAAGTATTAACACTTAGTTTACAACAACTAACTTGTTTTTTTTTCATTACTTACTAACCAACTAAAAATAACACAAAATACTCAACATTAAAAGTTATTAGTCCCTAACTAGTGTGACAAATCAAAGTATACTGAGGTCTTAAAAAAGGTATTTTTTACAATTCTCATTAATTGTATACAATGGTAATGACAGTAAGATAACTGAATCAACTTTTGAGCCACATAAAATGAAACAAATATTTAGGGTTAGGGGATATGTGTTATATCTCACCTGTGAAGGTTAGAACAGGTTTCTGACTCAGGGCTGTGGCATCTGGACTCAGAGCTGCAGACAGGCTGCAACCCAAACATAACCAATATATTAATATGATTATTAATATATTCATACATTTGGTTTAAAAGAGGCACTATTTTGCTTATTTTCAAGTTCATATTTGTATTTAGTGTCTCTACTGTAACATGTTTCCATGCTTTAATACTCAAAAAGCTCTTAATATTTATCATACTGCCTGTGCTGCAGCACCTCTTTTCACCCTCTGTCTGAAACCAGAGCCTGCTCTGATTGGTTAGCTGGCCAGCTTTGTAGTGATTGGTCAACCGCTTAGAGATGTCCCACTTCTTAGCCTATTACGTACAATGTTATGGAGCGCTAGCCAATGTAAGCGTGAGTTTTACACAGTGATGTCACTATGTTACGGAAGTAAGAAAAGGAGTCCAATGGAAGCGTTGGGGGTAGGGGGGGGGAGTGTGTGGGAGAGAAACTCCCTCTGGAGGGAACAAAGGGATTCGGAACACACCTGAAGGGAAAACCTGAAAAAAAGCATAATAGGGCCTCTTTAATGAGTTTGATCATAGTTGTGTGTGTCGGACCTGAACACGGCGATCTCGCCATAGTTGTTCCCGGCTGCCAGAAATCGTCCACAGGGAGAAAAACTCTGCGAGAACACGGACATGTGGAGGAGCTGCAACAACAAAACGCACATTAAATATTCATATTCATCTTTATTAAACTTATGAAATCCCATCTGCAGCTCTGTGTTTTCTCTGCTCATTATTTCCAACATAAATCTGTCTGTTGACTTCTATCAGCCATCTATCATTTATTGGAGGTATTACAAATGGAAACAGCAGGATTGCAGGAAGAGTGGTCTCAGATGTACAATTGCAGTACAAGCCCACTTAATATGAAACAATAATCGAAAATAATAAAAAGATAATTAAAGAAAGATAAAGAAAATCAAGTGTCACAAAAGTATTATTATTAGTAATATACATGTATTACTGGGCATCACACCTATCAAACGTAAAGGGTTTTTAGAAGAAGTAATATATTATTATCCAATTAATAATATTGAATGATTAAGTAATTCCAGGACAAGTGAAGACCAATACTGTATCACATATTCAGACAAAAGACAATAGCCTATACAACAAGTAAAGACAAATTACAAAATACAGTTCAAACTCTGGTTAACATTTATACAAAAACGGGTTACCGAATGGGACTTGATTTAAGGACCTTAATAAATGCTCTTATAACATGTGCTTGGTTCCATTTTAAAAACATATATAACTTTTGAACGTATTCAATCAATACCCACATTTAATAGGAGTCCCTTTACCATTAGAACATATTTTAACCAGTCATCCTATGCGAGCATTTTTACAAACTAACAAGAAAACCCAACTTTAGCAGAAAAAAAATAGCATGTTTATTAGCTAACAAAACGTATTTTAAACACCAACGACAGTTTCGTTAAGATGAAGTTGATGTAAACGTGTTAACTTGTGTAAGCTGTTTAACTAATAAGCACAAAACACACATTTTAGCGGAATTCTAAGTGGTGTTTGCCGCAAAGCCTTAACTTTTAAGACCAAGGCACACAGGTACAGCTAAGGGGATTCATTCAAGTTTAAATCAGTGTGTATTAACGTATTCTAACTAATCTATTACACCATCAGATATTATCGTTATTTGCCACATTTCCAACAACAACAAAGCGCGAGTAAAGCTAAGCGCATATTTCAGTATAAATGTGAGTGAGATTTTTACATTTAATTGAATTTCCTCCACAGTTTTAAGAACATATTAATAATAGTTTACCTCTACGGGACCCATTCTGTTCACACGGACACTTCGTGCCTTTATAACGGCTGCAAAAGGAGCAAAAAGTCGGTAATTTAAGTATTTTTTTTTACAAACGATGCGAGGAGTGAACAAGATGAATGCAGTCGAGGGAATATGACGTATGCACTAACGCAAAGGATTCTGGCACATGTAGTACACATTCTAGCAGCGAGGTGTTTTTTTATGTATAACTACAGGACAAATGTAATTCATAAATGCAAGAAAATAAAACAATTATACTCAAAATGGATTCGATAAAAAAAACACAGTATGAAATCACTTTGTCTCAAAACATGTTTTAGTATGTATTTTATCATTTTAAATTATTTTTTAGAGCAGGTTCAATTATAATTATTTGTATATAAAGAAATGGCAAGAAAGTAAAAAAGGAACTAGGAACTACAATGAGAAATAAACTTAAAGATGATAATACAAAATATATATCATATATTTAAGATAATAAATCAATGTACATTTTAATAATAATACACTATATATTGTTACAAATATTATTGTATTGCAAATCATCATTTCTAAGGGAGGTAGAGTAAATATTAAAATGTTATGAAGGTAGAACTATGTAAATATGTATGCTCATTTTTAGATTTTGTTATAAAAAATAATTACTATTTTAAACATATCAAATACAAGTACACATTAATCATTGTTTTGAAATTCAAAATGTATTCCCCATATACATAAGGAAGAACAAAGCTCCAGAGGATTTTTCTAATTAAAAAACTGTGTTTCTAATATAATGTATTTGTTGATTATTAAAACGACCTCAGAATGTCATTTGCCCCATGATGTTAATGAAGAAGAAGATGAAGGGGATGAAGATCTAGCGGCAGCCTGGCTCGGCTCGGCTATCCCCGACAGCGGTGAGGCAGAGCAGCACCGAGACTCAGTGATTGTCTGTAATACAATGACCCTAATGAGCTCTGGGGTTCATTATTAAAATAAAACCCAGAAACTGATTGTTAAAACCACATACTGGGTTTTTTTTGTGCGCATGATGACGCGCAGCGGTGTGCGCTCCGGCGGCGCGCAGCCAGCAGCGGCAGGAAGTATGTTGTCGAAGCGGCGGTAGAGAGAAGGTAGAGGGGGGAAAAGAGCCAAGAAGCAAAAGTCGGTGTTTGAACCGGAGGAGGAAAAAGGAAATCATGCCGAATCCGTGAAATCTGCGTATTTTTGCATCTCCACGCCGTGCATCGTCCACCCGTGCGGGCGCAGAGGCCGATTGAGGGGTAAGTGTGGAGCGGAAAAAACGTCTCGAAAACGAGGCTTTCATCAATGGGGGCCGCGGTGTGTTTGTCGAGATCTTTGTGTAGCTCCGGGCTAGCCTGGGGTTAGCTGAGATGCTAACCTCTCTGCGAGCGCATACATCGGCGACAGTTTGCACCCACTATCTGCTTTGTGTTATTTAAAATAAACAATAGTTGTCTCGCTAGCTTCTGCACGTTTGTATTTTAAGCTTTTATTTACAAACTTCCGTTTTACCTATTTTCTCTCATCACGGGGGGTTGCTAACTAGCCTAATGCTAATGTTAGTGCGGCCGTGTATATTTTACCTCCTATCCACCAAACTGTTTATATTACCAAAATGCTAAAAGCATTGATGTTGCTGAATATGGTATATGCACCTTGTTTTGAGGAAATAAACACCCCAAGCCTCTGGTTGTAGCGCAGTGGGGTATCAGTTTGTGTTTGTGGGCTAAAAAGGAGATGCTAGCGCGTTAGCATGGGGAAAATGTCTCGCTGCTCGAAAGCCATTTTCCGATGAAATGGGGTCTCAGTGAAAGTGGGTTGGTGGCTGTAGGTGTTGTCCCCGCTATGCTGTGAGAATCCTGTCAGAGAAACATCGCTAACACCGGGCGATTTTATTCAGTTTGACCCCCCTGTTGTTTTTGCTCCCGGATCCACGGCCGGGCTCGGGTGTCACTCCCCCGATTAAATTCGGGGAGTCGGCCTTAGGAAATGTCGGCCGTGTGTCGGAGAAGATGCCCCGCTTTTGTCCCGATAAATCCATGCCGGGGCTGAACCCGAGCAAGAAGAGAAGGGCCAAGGTCAGGCCGCCCTGCTGCAGCTGGCACGGCTCTTTCGGTGTTAAATCTGCTGTAATCATATTAACAGAATGATAGTTTTCATGAGTTTATTGCCGAAGCTGATTGTTGTCTCTGATCAAAACAACCCATACATGTGTGAACAGACCCGGGTTATTTCTGCACGGTGTGTGAATCCACCTGAGACACTTTTGGCACCACAACATTGAAATACCTTTTTGTTTGTGAAGTACAGCTTTACTAGTTGTTTTTGTTGCTGTGCAAAGCAAATTCCGTTTGTTTACATTATCCGAGGAAGAAAAAAAGTTGGACGGGAAAAAGAAAGACAGGGTTTTGATTGGCTGGTCCTGAACGGTCTGATTCAAATTTGTGTGTGAATGAGATGCTTCATTTAAAAGATCTGTACCAGATTACTGTGGATAATTCCATGTTTATTCTCATATTCACACTAATTAAAGAGATGCAGCTGTAAGATCTCCCTGATTAACAAATACATGTTAAAAAGATAAAAATTGTTCAACAGCTTATTTCTAAGGGCTTAACACAACATTTTCCCTGTAAATTCAGACATAATTCCTTTCAACATATGTCCTCAAATGAACTTTTCGATTCATGGCAAGTAAATATGTAAAAAAAGAAAGACATGGAAGTGAAACATATTGGGTAATTTAAATATAGGGATAAAACATAACGTGAATATAAAACAAAATGGATTTTGTGTTAAGTAATGGCAAAGTCAATTCACTGTTATGTAAACAGGAATGTAGTAATGTGCCTGCACATACAGAGGTATAAAATGTTTTGCACAACAGTAGGTTCAATTAAATGCCAATTAAGCCGGTTATCTGAACCAGCAGTTTACAGTCACGCTGTCATAACAAACCAAACCAAACACTCAGATCTGTATTATATTTAAAAACGTCAGTCCTGTCTCACAGGAGACATTTATCGCTGATACCAGGCGATTATTATTATTTTAATGCAATTACCTGATTGAGATGCTGAATTTCTAACTTTTCTGCTAGATTATTTTTGGATAATTTTGCCTGTGCTAAATATTACATTCAACTTTATTGGTGGAAGAAATGCTTGTTTACAGAAATTATCAATTGATGGGATTTAAAACATCTTAATTTTTTTTCATGCCATAAATACAGATATGAATCTAAACGCATATATTAATATAAAGATGCAAGGAAATTAAATTAGTCCTTCATGGTAAATTGCAAAGTCAGAATATCTTTTAAAAAGTAGGTTTACAGCTCCGAAGCCTAATTTCTACAATCTTTGGCACTTAATTTATACTTAATTTATTCACAATCTTAAAGTGAAAACTAGTGGAGGTATACAGAAGATATTTGACTGTAAGGGGCATTCCAACTTTTTATTTTTCTTTAGTTGAAAGCATTAGGCAAAAAAGTGTTACATAATTATTCAAGTTTCTTTACATGTTTACTCCAAATAAAAAACTGGAGAGGCTTAAAATACACAAACCTGCAAAAAAGTAAACAACTGGTAACTAGTATATCTGAAATCAAGTTCAAAATTGTGCAGGTTTCTTTGAATTTTATACAAGATTTCTACCCACTTTTTTTCGACGATAATCAGAATCATTGTCTTATTCATTTGGATGGATATTCATCATCACAGCAGCACAATAATCAGGATGTACAGGAAACATATACAATTAACCATTAATCCAAGATATATATGCAGAATGCTATGTGCACAAAGGTCAGGGTTTAACCCAAATTATTACCTCGATTATACCTAGATTAAATAATTAATTGCTTGAATAATTGATTAATTAATTGATAATGGAAAACAAATCAGACATATTTAAAACCTCAACAATCTTTGAGGTTATTGAAGAAATAATCAGCTCTGTTTTGACCTAATAATGTATTAAACCATGCTACAAATGATTTTAAACATTTCTATTAAGATAATAATGTATTGCTTATTAATTTAGCTCATCACATCAGTAATGGTGGTCAATTAGACAGGTTTTCTAAAGGATTTAAGTGGCTAAATTAGGGTTGCGCTATTTTTCTACAGTTCTAAGGTTTTCTGAATAGCTTGAGCTGGTTTTAGTGGTGGGAAATTTAAAATGAGGGCTGCAACTAATCTACTGTCACTTTTCACATTGAACATGCACCCTTTTATTAAATAAACTAAATACTTTCAATTTAAGTTATGAGTTTAGTGTTTTTGACCCTAAGAAACACTGATGCACTAATCAATAACAATAATCCACAGCTCCTCTCTCTGCTCCAGAGGATTTAAAAAAATAAAATATCCCAACAACACCCCCCCCCTTTTTTTGTACCTATCCAGCAAAGATTGTTTAGGGACATCTCTACAGCATCACCATACTTGAATACTCTACCTCCCCAATTTCAATGTTGCGTTATCTATTCATCTTTTTCTATTTCAAATAGAGAAAAAGTCGTCTCCTGCCAATTTAATCCTCTCCTAAATCTGTTTTTGTCCTCCACTCTCCTACCTCTTCTTGATTTTTTTTTAATTTTATTCTTGATTTTTATCCACCTTCACCTCCATATATGTCTCCAAATATGTATATTTAGTTTTTTCCTTGCTGCTTTTTTGCTTGTTATAACAAAGTTTCAAACTGAAATGCAAATTGTTGCCTCTTTAAATTACACACACATAAAAAATGCATACAAGTTTTAAAATTTGAATAGAATCAACATAAATATTAGGGATGCTCCGATCGATCGGTCACCGATCGAGATCTGCCGATACTCACTCTCTACCGATCGATCGGTGCTCTCTAAACATGCCGATTGCGAGGGCCGATCGCATGACGTAAAATACATGACACTTTTCTCTGTACGCGGCAAAACAAGCTCGCCAAAATGGCTTCACCGGTCTGGCATTATTTTAAGGTGTCCGAAAAAGACAGTAAAATAGCGGTATGCAACGTGTGTGTGAAGCAGAAATCCTGCAGCTCCGCCCGCTGTGATGGGCGGTGTGAGCGGAGCGAAACACACAAGAGTTAGACCTAACACACTTAGCTATTTTATCTACCTCTGGAACAAGCTAAACTAGTTATAAATATGTTTATTCTTCACTGTCGGCCTCACACATTACTGGATCAGCGAGCTGCATGAGACGATACTGACGGGCTGTCAGGAGAGGGAGAGCGGGGGAGAGAGAGGGGGAGAGAGAGGGAGAGAGGAAAAGAGAGCGCTTGCTCATTTCTCCCGTGTTATTATCCAAAGTGAATGTAAACTTGAATAATATACATAATTTGAATGTAATAATTAAGTTGATTGTTGTTTGTGGAAGCTCCAGTGAATGAGCCCCATTAACTGAGTTTTAAACATCACTTTAAATCTTCCATTTAAAGTGATGTTTAAATCTTCCATTTAGGCCCCGCCCACTCGATCGGATCGGCGATCGGTATCGGCAGATACTGATTCCGGCGATCGGCCCCAAAATTGGCGATCGGAGCATCCCTAATAAATATGTGTAGTTATGTTCATACAAATCCTTTATCCATATAAATCTAGAGTGTTGTTTATAGCGAGGTTCAGGTCAGTGAACCTGACCTGAGTTTGATGGTCTGTAACAGAGAGTTCGGATTAACGAAGCCGCTTGATGTAATCTGTACAGATTACAGATTATCTTGTTAAAACTGTAACAAACCTGAACGCACTTTAGGCTCCGTTTACATGAAAACGAACAGAATTCGATATAAAAAAAGTCTTCCGTCCACACGGAATCGGCTCAATAAACGTGTCCGTCCACACGAGACCGCTCGACCCGCTGGAGACGCTGTAGTACATATGCCGGGCCTGTAAGTGGCGCTGAACTTCCGCCACAAAATACACCAAAAGCAGCGAAGAAGAACCTAAAAGTACCTCAAAAAAAGTAATCAATAATGTATTGAAAAGTTATTTGGCTGATTGTTTTATATTGGCTCAGCCAAGTTATATGGGATGCCCAGTCTACGTACAGATGGGTCACTCATTTTGAAATATTAAACTTAGTTTTCTTTTCTTTAATTTTTCATCCTCATCTAGAATGCTATTATGAAACACACATTTGGTTGTTTATAGCATAAAGAACATCTGATTTAATGTGAGGTAGGGAAATAATCATTTGAGTATAAGTATCAGGGTGCGTACGGGTGCTGGAAATCCTTGAAAATGCTTGAAATTGTACGAGGTGTTTTCAAGGTTTGAAAAGTGCTTGAATTTTGGGAATGGTGCTTGAATTTGGGATAAAGTGCTTGAAATTGTAAATGCTTTACTTCGCTTTTTAGATTAAAAGAAAATAAAGAAGTCGGAGCGCGCTTAATTGCTTCGCTTTTACATAAAACAGCTCCGCTCCGGCCTTCCCGCGCAATGCGCGTGACCGGCAAGTGTTTTTGTTACGTGTGTGACCTGGGCATTCTGATGAGAGTGATAGATGACGGTATGCCAGGAGGTTGCCGTTTCAACGAGCGTTGGCTAGCAGAAGACAAATACAAGCCATGGCTAAGACGAGGGTCAAGCGAAGCCCAAGAGTAGCCTCCTGCAAAGTGTGCAACAATAACGATGCGAGAGTCTGCGCTGACGAGCCACACACCACACGAAAGGTACGCTGTAGAAGAACATTTTAGATTAGGCTATCGTTGCATGTAAAATACATGACACTTTTCTCTGTGCGCGGCAAAACAAGCTCGCCAAAATGGCTTCACCAGTCTGGCAGTATTTTAAGTGTCCGAAAATGACAATAAAATAGCGGTATGCAACGTGTGTGTGAAGCAGAAATCCTGCAGCTCCACCCGCTGTGACGGACCGGTGAGCGGAGCAGAACACACATTAAGAGTTAGACCTAACACACTTAGCTATTTTATCTACCTCTGGAACAAGCTAAACTAGTTATAAATATATTTATTCTTCACTGTCGGGTCGCTCATTACTGGATCAGTGAGCTGCAGGAGATACTGACGGGCTGTCAGGAGAGAGAGAGAGGGGGAGAGAGGAAAAGAGAGCGATATCGGTATCGGCCTATACTGATTCCGGCGATCGGCTCCAAAATTGGCGATCGGAGCATCCCTAATAATTGTATATGATATGTTTTATAATGATTGATCATGAAAGTGTTCTCAAAGCTGGTAAAGGTGCAGCTAGTTTGAATGACTTTGTATACTACAGAGTAGCTTGTGAATTTACTCCAGGTGGAACTAAAGTCTGATTTAACACTTGATTATATTTCACATCATTCATCCACATCTGTAAGTAACTAAAGGTATTAAATACATGTAGTGGAGGAAAGGTACACCATTTACCTCTGACTTATGTTTACTGCCAACCTAAAAGTACCTCAAAAATAGTAATCAATAATATATTGAAAAGTTATTTGGCTGATTGTTTTATATTGGCTCAGCCAGGTTATATGGGATGCCCAGTCTACGTACAGATGGGTCACTCATTTTGAAATATTAAACTTAGTTTTATTTTCTTTAATTTTTCATCCTCATGTAGAATGCTATTATGAAACACACATTTGGTTGTTTATAGCATAAAGAACATCTGATTTAATGTGAGGTAGGGAAATAATCATTTGAGTATAAGTATGTGTATATAAATATGTAATTTACAACAGCGGAAGATGCTTGAAAAGCTTGAAAATGCACCTTGAAAATGCTTGAAAAGTGCTTGAATTTGACTTTGGAAAAGGTGTAAGAACCCTGAAGTATGTGTATATAAATATGTCATTTACAACAGCTGTAAGATGCTTGAAAAGCTTGAAAATGCACCTTGAAAATGCTTAAAGTGCTTGAATTTGATTTTGGAAAAGGTGTAAGAACCCTGAAGACCTCCCGAGCATGGTTGCCTGGTTGCCCTTCTGTTTATTCTCCGCGTGGATTCAGCGGTGAGCAGCAGAGGTGGGGAGGGGCAGGGCTCTGGCTGTTTCGGCGGCCCCTGTTTCTCTTTTTCTCCCTCCCAGAGGCGAGCGTGTGCTTGTGCTGTAAAAGGCAGGTGCCACTGCCACCACTGTTTTACAGCAAGCCCCGTACTCTTTACACTGTCAACAGAGGTGTGTCCTGTTGTGTGGAGGAAAACCAAATTACTTTTTCCACATGCAACAAATCAAATCCTTAAGAAATCAGAGGAAGTTGTTGTGATGTTGAAATAAGTGTTGAAATAACCACATTTATCTGTATGATAATAACAATTGTCTTATATTATAAAATCATGACAACGTTAACATATTTTACAGATTGAAAGGTTTAACAATAGAAGGGTCAAAAAATGAGTAGAATCTGTTGTCTGAAATCTCACGAGGGCTACAATTATAAGACAATGACTGTTTACATATTTTGCTGTGTATGTATATTACAAGTAAATACCAATATATTTAAAGGATGTCAAAGAGCAATACAAATGTACTATTTGCTTGGTAAAGAACTGGCACTTATCAAAATGGTTATTAAATATTAAAATCTTAAATACTGGATGCCTGACAGTTACAGGATTGCATTGTGGTAAAAGTGGATAAATACAAGATTTTATTAATTTAAGTAACCTTCCATTTTCTTCTTGTCCCTACAGTGATACCTCATTGGCTGGTGTGACCCCTGCCGGCCCGCCACCTCCCAAGGTGGGCCCCGATTGGCTGGACCTGCCCTGGGGAAGCAATCGGCACCCTCAGCTGAAGAGCTAAGCCCCGCAGTTTCCTCCCCCATCCCCCCTACGTCACTGTTCATTTCTTTGATGTGAACTGTGATTCCCTCCGTCCTGTTTGCTTTAGAGTACTATGGCAATGCATGATATGAGTCGTGCCAAGGGTTTCCCCTGTAAAGAGTGTGATATGGTTTGTCCGAGTACTCCAAGTCTTCTAGAACATATGAAAGCACATTATCAGCAAGAAGAAAACGGACGTTTTGAGTGTGAACAGTGTGGGCGAGTTTACAAGCACGCAGCTAGCCTAGCCAATCATAAAAAATCTCACGAAGTGGGTTCATTCCAGTGTCCAGTTTGTACGCGTACGCTGCCCAACGCGGTAGCTTTGAAAAACCACCTACGTATCCATACTTTGTCCCCCAGTAGTGCACACGCAGAAGAAGAGAGTGAAGAAGTTCCCGAAGAAACGGGCCACGACGAGAGGGACTACGGTCTCGCCCAAGACCTCTCAGACGGGTTTGGGCGCTCACATTTGAACAATAGTGGTATGGGACATAGTGTCCTACAAGGCCACGAGACAGACAACCACGGTAAAAAAGGTTCTCCCGAGCACGACAACGCTTGGGACAGACCATTCAAGTGTGATCAGTGCGAGAGAACCTACCGGCATCACGGTAGCCTGGTGAACCACAAGAAGTGTCATCAGCAAGGAACTTTTAAGTGCTCTGTGTGTTTTAAACAATTTAGCAACCTGGCTGCCTTAAACAGCCACGAGAGAACTCATTCGAAGTTCAAGACCCCTGGCGCCTCAATGGTGAGCAGCAGCAGCAGCCTCCACGACTCGCGCAGCAGTGGCACCCAGTCGTCTCAGAGCAACGACACTGCCTCGTGCTTTTGCCACCTGTGCCAGATAGCGCTGCCAAATAAGACAGACTTTCAGGAGCACATACTGCTACACAACGCAGCCTCGCCCTCCCTTGGTCTGCCGCGCAATTTCCCAGGAATCATGGCCCACACGAGTGCGGTTCGATCCCCAGCATACACCCCTGCGCTGGGTGACCCTCTGCCCCTGCCACCCCTGCCCACTGACAAAAGAGGCCCCTATGACCCCATTATGGGCCCTCCAGTCAACAATCCCATCTACACATGCGCATATTGTGGCGCAGGACATCCAGATCTGGAGACCTTAAAGGTCCACTATCTGACCCATGACCCTAACCCTGCCTCTCACGGCCAGGAAAGCTCCATTCTCAGCTCTGGATCGCAGGGCTCAGTGTCCTCTCCGTCCGGAGGCCGTGTGCCCCAGGCCAATTCTCCAGATAATGGAGAGCGACGCTTTAAGTGTGGAGAGTGTGGCAAAAGCTACCGGCACGCAGGAAGCTTGGTCAACCACAAGCGCTGCCATCAGACAGGCCACTACCAATGCACAATCTGCTGTAAGCAGTACCCCCACCTGGCAGCGCTACACAGCCACCTACGAAGCCACAAGGGGCGTTCTGGCAACACGTCTTTAAATAATGACGGCAGTGACTGGCTGTCTCCAGAGCCGCTAACCCTGGACTCCCAGCAGAGCTACGTCCAGGAAGGCAGCGGCGCCACCACTCCAATTTCCCTGCCAGGGAATCTTGGTGATGCGGCCCACTTTGTACAAGATGGTGGCCATAGCAGTGGGTTGGACTCTCTTGAGTTTCACGATCGCTTTGATGGTAGCTCACTTTCTCAGAGCAACTCTGCTCACCGTCAGGCTGACAGACATGTGTGCGCCGACTGCGGCGAGATGTATGGAGATGTATCTGGCATCAAGTCGCACATGTGTCCTCGTCGTGGCCAGCAGCCTCAACAGCAGCAAGGGAACATGTCTAACGGTTTCATGGGAAACATGAACTACCACAGCTCCAGTGCAACCTCACTGCCTGCTGGAAGCTCCAGCAGCCTGAAAGAAGGCAGCAGCCAGCGACAATATTCCCAGAGCGGAGGCAAGAGAATGGGAAGCAATGACAAAGATGATGACGATGATGGAGAAGTGTATCAGTGTTCGGTGTGTGGCAATCACTACGCCAGCCTCCGAGCCCTCAGGAGCCACCTGCGTAGCCATGCGAATAACCCAACAGGGCCTGGCCCTTCCTCCCTGGAGCAGGAGTGGAGGATGATCTGCTCCACCTGTGGCCAGAGCTTCTCAAGGAAGCAAGACCTCCTGAATCACCAGTTAGTCCATGGCCCCCAAAGGCCTGATGGCCAGCAACAGAGTATTGTAGGCAGCTCAGCTAATGGCAATGACAAGATGGACGGACGCAACCATATTTGTGTTGACTGTGGCATGTTTTTTGCCGACCGCCACCACCTGATCACGCACCTGTGTCCTGGTAAGAATAGGTCTAGCTCCCTGAGCAAGCAGGGTCTGAATGGAGCCAAAGGTATGTCCGGAGGAGAAGGTGTCGCTGGTGGGGGGGTTGCTGGTGGAAGCCGTGAGGTTGGTGGCGATGGACGTAGGCCTATGGTGGACCAAAGTGACAAGCCCCATAAGTGCGACCAATGCGGGCGAGGATACAGACACCCCTGCTCACTCCTTAACCACAAGAAGTCACACAAGACGGGGGTTTTCCGCTGCTTGGTGTGCCAGAAACGCTACTACAATCTGCTGGCTCTCAAGAATCACCAAAGGACCCACTTTGATCTAAAGAGGTAGGTCCCAGATTCTGTCATTTTTTGTTTTATATAGATGTTTGAAAGTTGGCTGGTGCAGTTTATGTTAAAGATAACATTTGTGCCAGATTATGAAGCCCTTGGTTTGATATGCACATGAGTTCTCATGACCAGAAAATGTTATATATTGCACATGATGATCTTCATTTGATTAACTGTGCAACCCTTATTTCATCTCAATCAAGTTGACTCATTTCCTCATTTATTTTGACATCTTTTTAGCTTGTAGTGGAAACCGGTTAACAAGATTTAGCATAATCTTTTGTAAAATGTTTCCCATGGTAGACTCTCAGATTTAGTCCATGTGTTTCCAAACATGTTGCAAGTAAGTTGATCATAATAACATTATCCCCAAAATATTTCTAATAAGGAATAGCCTTCCCAAGTGTCATGTTTAATACCACCATCCCCCCTGATATTAGTCCTAGATTTGAATGTATTTACTGAGTTTTCTACATCTCTGCTCATCCATGCTGCAGGCACAAGTGTGAAGAATGTGGAAAGGCTTTCAAGATCCAAAAGCAGCTGATCAACCACCTTCGTCTCCACGAGGAGCACCGAGCCAAAGGTCTTGTTCGGACTGGCCCCAACAGTTCTCGCTTCCAGCAGCCTGGGACATCTCAAATGCAGAATGTGAGAGGAGAATCATCAAAGGCCCAGCCGATGGGCGTGAAATATAGCCAGCAAGGGTTCAAGAAACCCTACTCTTCAGCTGGAACTTCAAGGCCCCAGAAGTTTGATCCAACTGAGACTGGACGTCGGCCTTTTGCATGCGAAGAATGTGGCAAGACATACCGACATGCAGGCAGCCTGGCCAATCACAAAAACCTTCACAAAATTGGGGAGTACCACTGCAACGTTTGCAACTCCACATACCCCAACAGGCTGGCAATGAAAAACCATCTACGTCTCCACTTTGCCCAGAAGAAGCACAACTGCCAAGAGTGCGGCAAGGGCTTCCGTACCCAGAGGCAGCTAGCTACCCACACTACAGCTGGCCTGTGCAAAGGACCGCAGGGCCCCGGGGTCCAGATGGATTTTGAGTGCGATGGCTGCTGCGAAGGCTTTGCCACGGCCGATGAGCTTGCAGCTCACGACTGCCCGGCTCAGCACCTGCCTTCATCCTCCTCAAGCAACACCCCCAATATCAGCTTGGAGAGAAGTTCTGTGGACCTGGACTCTGACGAGAGACCCTACGCCTGTGACCTGTGCAGCTGTGCCTACAAACATGCAAGCTCATTGCTGAACCACAAGCACACCCACAAGACGGGCAACTTCCGTTGCAATTTCTGCGACAAGCCCTACACCAACTATATGGCCCTGCGCAACCATATGCGCATCCACACACAGCGGAAGAAGCACATCTGCCACACGTGTGGGAAAGCCTTCCGGCTTGCCAGGTTCCTCCGAAACCACCAGAAGGTCCACGAGGAGGGTGCTACCCCCTTTGGCTGCCCCACCTGTGGGAAGAGTTTCCAGGGGAGATCCGGCCTGGCCAGGCACCGCTGCGGGGACAACCAGGTAGGCATGGAAATCAGGAAGAAGGCTGCTGCGACCCCGGGAGAGGGCGAGGAGTGTCGGTACACGTGAGTTCTCGTCAGTTGTTTGTGATTCTACGAAGTTGGCCCAAAAAATAGTGAAGATAAATTTAGGTCTCTACGTGTCTATTACAGGTATATGATCTCCAATCCGGCTTCCTTGGGACCATACGCGTGCCGGAATTCGGATTTTTCTGAAGTTTGGACAAATTGAATTAGTGGAGAGACCAGATAAGTCAACCCCGTTTGCTTTCAGTTAGCATATCACACACTTTAGTTTTTAAGGCTACCTTCATGTTTAGATGTTTTGTTTTCATGCTTTGCTTTACTTAGCCAAACTTAACACAGATTTGCTTTTTAAGTATTTTGTGTGTAGCATATTAGCAACATTTTTAGTATTGATGTTTGTTCCTTGCTCTTGTAATGATTTTGATTGTAGTCTTTGATTTGTTTGTTTGTTTTCTTTAGGTAGTCTAATAATACTGGCCAGTTATTAGACTAGAACATGCAGTTTTATGATGGGACACTTGCATTTTGATGTCTGTCAAATAAAAGTCAGAGGATAGATTAGGAAGTATTTGGAGCTAGCTGCACTGCACACGTCAGGGGTTAATCTTACATCTTTCGTTATTACAGGCAGACATGGTAGAGGTTCTTTGGCATTTTTGATGGATCTTTCATCATTATATACAGAAAAGAGTGATTACCCAAAAGACGGCTGTGACAGAAGGTTTATTAAATTGTTCCCATATGTGAAAGAAGCTTGCGTCCATTTGTGCAGTGCAGGGAGCAGCAGATACTTCCCAGTCCCCCACATGAATCCCAGTTGTTTGTCCATAGTTGTCCCCCATGCCCCTCCCTCCCTCCCTATCATCTGTGTAGAAATCATAACTTTAAATGGTACACCACTTTGTAGTAGTCTTCTTTCTTTGAAAGCTTTAAGCCGGATTTCAGATCATATACCTGTATGAACAACATCTTAGATGAGTTGTCAAAATATTTCAATAATTCTAAGAAAAAGTGGTAACCAGAGTTAAATTTGGATAGAATTTTGTAAGCGGACTATCATTTTCAGTTTCTAATCTCCCTTTTCTCTTACCCTCTGTCCCATCCCCATGTTTGTCCTAATTTGTCTCTGCACAGGTGTGATCAATGCGGACGCTCCTACCGCCACGCCAGCTCCCTCCTCAACCACAAGAACACCCACACAGTCGGCATCTATCACTGCGCCGTGTGCCTCAAGACCTACTCCAACCTGCTTGCCCTGAAGAACCACCGTCGTATCCACTCAGAGATACGGCGCCACCAATGCCACGACTGCGGAAAGGCATTCCGCGTTTCCTCCCAGCTCCACAACCATCGACGCGTCCACCAAAAGCAGCGGGAGCTCACCTGCCGGTCCTGCCAAAGATCCTTCCCCACGCAGGCCAGCTTCAGCCTCCACATGGAGATCACCCATGGCCAGACGCCGCAGCCCCGTCAGCCCAGACCCCAGCAGCCTCGGCCGGGGGGCTCCCAGGAGCTGGGCTGGGGGTCAGGCCTGGACCTCACGTTGATGCAAGAGCAAGGACTGCACCCTAGCAGCATTGCCAAAGCCCGCAGCCGTGGTGGTCACAGCGAGGTCCTCAAACCCCACGTCTGCGATCAGTGTGGCCGCTCTTACCGCCACGCCAGCTCCCTACTCAACCACAAGAACAGCCACAAGACTGGGACCTACTTCTGCAACTCCTGCCAGAAGGAGTTCCCCAACCTGATGTCCCTCAAGAACCACCGCCGGATCCACACCGAGCCCAAACGCTACCAGTGTCCCGACTGCGGGAAGTCCTTCCGTGTCTCCACCCAACTCATTTGCCACCGCCGCATCCACACCAAGGAGAAGCCGTTCTCCTGCCAGCAGTGCGACAAGCACTTCTCCTCCAAGTCCAACCTGAGGCACCACATGAAGGTGCACTGGAACGGATCCACGGCGCCCCCTCCCATGGCCATGGGTGCGCCCAACTTCCTGGGTATGCCCGGCGGCCCCTTCATATAATATGGGATCAGGGAAGGATGGGAGTCAGGGCGGGGCGGGCGGGCGGGGGATGGGGTAGCGGGTGCTTTGAAGTCACATGCCAAGGTTTTTTCCATGTGCGGCCGTAGTGTGTGTGTGCGTGCGTGTGTGTGTGTGTGAAGGACAGGTCCTGCATGACTAAACATACACGTAAAGCAGAGCGCAAAATGGACGCTTGTGCGCACACACACAGAGAACTCAAAACGGAGGACATGCACACACTTGTTTCTAACCTTTCTTGCGCCAATGCTTCCTTGGCGGATGCTCCCACAAGGCCCTGTTTGTAGAACTGTCCCACGCAGACTGACAGACAGACAGACAGACATGATGTAGTTTCATAGACTTTACTACACCTGCCTTACTCCCGCCTGCATGTTGCCCCATACTGCCTGGGGAGAGGTTTAACCTTTCTCCGGAGCACCTGCAGGGACTTTTCTGAAAGCCCAGCTCGTAGAGACTGACGAGTCCTGTGGTTGTGACTGTTGAGGAAGTCTGATGCGTGCTCATTTCAACCCCAGGAGCTCATTGGTCCTGTGTTTGCAGTTTCTCTGTTTCCTGCCTCCATCCCTGTTCTGACGATGTTCATAGTAAGTTTTGCGTGGCCTTTGTCACAACGTTTTTAAAACCATATTCAGACAGAGTCTGTCTACACAGTGTTTTTATTTAAGACCAACATGTAGGTAAAGTGGAGACTTTTGGTTTGTTTTTGCTTTTTTTTGTACCTGGATGGTTTTGACGGGAGGAAACAATGACTTGTGGGAGCTTTTAGGACCAGTAGATTGAATGGTTGGGTTTAAACGTGTGTTTTTGTGTGTGTTTAGCACCAAGATGAGCTTCTTAACTTTGTAACTTCCTAAAGCCTTGTTCCCACAAACAGATCCAGCAGCAGCCGTGTGTCACACCTTTTTAGTCTAAACCCCGCAGGCGTGTTCAGCGGTAAACGGGTCATTTTAAAAATACTGTATGTCAATAGCACACAAGATTATTTCCTGTCCAACACATTTTCATTATTGTCAATTTTTGAAAGTTGGAAAGTAAAGTTTTACAGATGTTTTTTTTTTTTTAAATCAAATCTATTTGATTTGACAGCCCTATTGAAGAGGAAGGGTGATATGGTTGAAAGCCCCAGAAAAGGACTAGTAAGCCCACCCCTAAGTGGGGATATTTTTGCCCAAATCTTTCAAGAATAAACACTGAGGCGTGATTGGGTTGATTTGTCCACTTATGGTTTGCTTGTTAAAGTTGAATCGTAGAGAACTGTCAAACTGTTAACCAACGATTGGTTTGTTTTATACCTCGGAAAATGTCGGAAAACTCCTAAGGCTTGGACAAAACAATCCAGTCCATCTGCTTTTGACGTTAAGAAAGTAAGTGGACCCTGAGTTTGGATAGTTTCAGGAATGCATTTTAAGTCCTTGTGTTAGATCTACATTTACGAACAAATGTTAACGTTTAACGTGTAATTTTATTTTTATCGTATTGGTTCTCTAGTGTTGCCTTCAACTACAAAGTTCATTAGAGGTACGATGGTAAATGAGGTTTCAATTATGCGGAACAAAAATTAATACAATTATTTAAGACCCAACAAAAGATAGAACAATATTTTGGCTGTTTTTTGTTTTTTTTTAAACAAGCAAATATTTTCTTTCACTTTTGCATTAAAACAAAAATGATCACGTTTCTTACCTCACGCTCGCTGTGTGTGAATCTGTGTGTGAACGTGGCTGCAGGTTTACAGAACAAAGGAAAGAAAGTAAAACACACAAATTGACGGTGTATATTGTCGGGCCTGTATTGTAATCGTACTTCTCTCTGTATTATCTGCGGGAACTCTTTTGTAAGAAGGAAAAAGACGACAGATCATTGTAATAATGCATTTATTTATATTATTATTATTAACACTTGTAATGGACGGCGCTAGTCTTTAGGATGTGTGAGTTTAGAGCTGTGTTGATGTAAACCCCCCCTCTCTTACCCACAATCCCCTCTTCAGTGGAAAAGATTTAAACACTATGTGTAAACAATGGAAAGTGTTTTCTTGCCTTTTACCAAGTGATGTTGTGACGGTGGAGACTTCCCATCATCCATCTCTTCCATATTTATCTCTCCCTCTCCACCTACTTCCTGTTTCACAAAAATCAAGCTCACATGGCAAAGGGACGCCTTAGTGATTCTCCTCCATTTGAAACTTTTTTTATGGTAACCTCTTGTATTTATTGGTGTTTTTATTTTATTTTTCTCCTTTTTGTATTTAATTGCATTATTTGGAAAGCCTCTGTGTGCGTTTTTTTTTTAAAGAACACAACTTGTCAGCGTATTCAGGAGCACTGGCGCTAGTTAAAAAAAAAAAAAAAAGTTAAAAGCCGTGCAGTGACCGTCAAGTGCTGTAGGAGTCGATGTGATCTAGAAACACAGAAATTATAATAACTGTACATTTTCACATCTTCCTTCACATCTTCCTGTTGGACCCATTTCAGCTAGTTTTAGAGAGAAGAAGAAGAAAAAGATTTGCTTTGGAACAACTATAACTAGGGATGCTCCGATCGCCAATTTTGGGGCCGATCGCCGGAATCAGTATCGGCCAATCCGATCGAGTGGGTGGGGGCTATGGGGATCTTCCATTTAAAGTGATGTTTAAAACCCAGTTAATGGGGCTCATTCACTGGCGCTTCCACAAATAACAACCAACATAATTATTACATTCAATTGAAGTATATTATTCAAGTTTACATTAACTTTGGATAATAACATGGGAGAAATGAGCGGAAGCGCTCTCTCTCCCTCTCTCTCTCCTGACAGCCTGTCAGTATCCGTCTCATGCAGCTCACTGATCCAGTAATGAGTGACCCGACAGTGAAGAATAAACATATTTATAACTAGTTTAGCTTGTTCCAGAGGTAGATAAAATAGCTAAGTGTGTTAGTTCTAACTCTTAGTGTGTGTGTGTGTGTTGCTCCTCTCACCGGTCCGTCGCAGCGGGCGGAGCTGCAGGATTTCTGCTTCACACACGTTGCATACCGCTATTTTATTGTCTTTTTCGGACACCTTAAAATACTGCCAGACTGGTGAAGCCATTTGGCGAGCTTGTTTTGCCGCGCACAGAGAAAAGTGTCATGTATTTTACGTCATGTGATCGGCTCTCCCGGTCGGCATTTATAGAGAGCACCGATCGATCGGCAGAGAGTGAATATCGGCCGATATCGATCGGCGGCCGATCGATCGGAGCATCCCTAACTATAACCCACTTTTTTGTTTTAACTTTTTGTTTCCATGCATATATATGTAATGCTTACTATACACTTTTATAAACTATGTTTTGATAATTCATTTCTTAACAGAAAAAACTTGTCCATATACTATAACCCTTACTGCTGAGTACTGAAAATAAATAGTTGAAAAACCCAGCGGAGGTCATCGTGTTCAATATTTCTGCTAAACACAGATTAATGTTAGGAACACTTTATATAGCCTGCTTTACATACTGAAATATTTCATTTACATTTAAAACCTTAGACATACAGTTTAAAAACTGTTTTCTAATATTAATATGGATGTTATGATTATAAAAACGGTACCAATCTGCATTGCTCTCGATATATGGTGGAAATAAAGTACAACAGTTATCATTTATATTTGATCTCTGCACTGATTCAACACCAAATCGTTGTCAACTGAAATCGTTTGCCTTGTTTTGATATTCTATTGTTAAACCTGAAATTACGGGGGCTGACAGAACAACGGCCCGAAGTATTTCCATTAGGAGAAACGTGCTGCATTTATAAAAAAAACAATATGGAAATACAAAAACACAAATGTGCCAAAACACATGCAAATTAAGAAGCACCTTCACCAACTGGACTCTACATGCGCAGTCTTTTTTTTTTTTTAAACACTGCAATTTAAATAAACACTGCAAGAAGCTTAAAGCACAACAGAAATGGGGACACTTTAAGTGATGCACACAGCTGGGACCGGAGCACATGTTGACGGAAGAGGAGGATAAAGTTGGCCAACTGTTAGTGTGGGCAGAGTTGGTCTGTTTCATAACTCAGTATTGTCAGTATTTGTGAAATGACTAAGTTACAGCAGATCTGCAAAAATATTGGAAGGAATTATGTGATCACATTAAGTAAAGCCAATAAAATATTTTAGGTAACTAACTTATCAACATTGATAGCTGGCCAACTTTATAATCACCGAACGTCAACAATTCTCCGGTCCCTGCTGTCTGCGTCACTTTAATACAAACTATTAGAATGATAAAATCCTGTCAATGGGAAAATTACCAGTTAAAATTGTATTAAATATGATGTAATATCATATAATACGTTACGTTAAAGGGGTTTATATTATACATATATATTTAATATTGGAGGAAAATATTAGTCAGTGTTTCTCTTTCTGTATTTGGTACGTGCGGGAATAAAACTTAAATTATACATTGTATTCTTTATTTCTACCACAAACGGCAACTTTGTACATTTTTGGAAATCAGAACCAAAATGTGTTATTTATAAAATGTTTCTCTTTTTTTAAAGAAATTTAGTTTCTTTATTGAGATTTTAAAATAATAATTTTAAAGATGCCCATAATCACTTTCTGATGTTTTATAAGGAATTAACATCACTGTTTCCAGCAGAAAGCAGTGATATGTTTCTGAACCAAACTCCATCCTCTCTGTGCATGTTTTCATTGTGTCACAGGGGCTTTCTGGGATTAAAGTCTGTGTTTGAGAAAGGCGTGAACATGTTCAATTATCAACAGCTAATTATAAGTGTTTATATTCAACAAAAGAAACAAAACTAAAAAGAAGATCCAACTGCTGCTGGCACAAAGTGATGTTGCTAATTTGATTTTTTGTTTTGTTTAATGTGCTGATCCTTTGGATTATGTAATGTGGAGTGTGTAATGTGATTGGAATAACCCTTTATGGTCGGACAATGAATGAATCCTTTCGTCACGCAGCTCAGATCCACTAAAGAAAACAAATGTGTTCGTATTAACGGAAACGTTCATTAATGTTCAACAAGCCAACGTCTTTGTTTTTGTTTAAGTCAAAAAATTATTGAATAATAAAGAAAAGAGTTATCGCATACCACGTCGTAAAAATTAAAATGAAAATATGCTGAAAAAGTAATAGTATAGTATGTCGAAATATCTTTAAAAACGTTTAGGTATAAAAAAATCATAGTGTACTGTGTTGAAAATATCCTGAAAAAAGTAAAAGTATAGTACTTTATCGTAAAAAATATAAAACAGTAATACTTTCTTTTAAAAATATTTTAGTATGTACAAAATAGGAAAACATTTCATATCAAGTGTGTAAAAAAGGAGTCATAGTATGTCAAAAATAATTGAATTAAACAGAAGTCATAGTATAGTTTTACGGAATATGAAAAAACATCATACTATAGTATGTTTAAAATGTGAAATACAAATAATAGGACAGTATGTCGCAAAAAGTCATAGTTTAATATGTGGAAAAATATAAACAGACATATGAGTATGTCTAGAAATATATTTTTTTAAGTACATAAGTCACAGCATAGTAAGTCGTAGAAAGTCCCAAAAAGTCCTAGTATATATCATGTCATAAAAAAGTCATAACAAATTATTATTCTATTATATTCCAAAAATATAAGAATTACATTTAAAAAAAGTATAGTTTGCCATAATAAATTGCACAAAAAGAAAATCTTACTATAGTAAGTCATAAAAAAGACAAAGAAAGGTATATTGAAAATACATTGAATAGAAAAGTCATTTAAAGTCCTAGAATAGTATTTGGTAAAACAATAGCGTAGCATAACACAGCATAGTAATAGTATAGTATGTCATGAAAAATGTCACATAATAGTATGTTGTAAAAAAGTCATTAAAAAGTCATAGCATAGAACGTTGTTAAAATACTCAGTAAACTCTGTTCTGTTGTTGAAGAAAAGTCATAGTATGCCATATAAAATATAATTGAAATTCACAGTACATAGATTAGTATCTTGTACCAAAGTCATAGTATGTTATGTCATGCAAACGGTCTTAAAAGAGTCCTAGAATAGTAAGTTCATAAAAGAGTAGAATATCTCATAGCATACTAAATTGTGAAAAAGGTTATAGATATATATTTTAAAAACAAATTAAAAAAATGTCAGAGTAGCCTATAGTAAAAAAAAAAGAATTAGAGTTGGTAATCTGAACTAAATCTTTAAACACCAAAGACCTTTGGGGTCCGTGTCGGTGGTTGTTTATAGTCTGATACTAAAGTCCCCTGTCTGTGTCCTCTCAGATCTGAGTCCGGTGGGTTCCTCCTCCCGGACCTTCGCCTGCAATCAGTGTGGCCGCTCTTACCGCCACGCCAGCTCCCTACTCAACCACAAGAACAGCCACAAGACCGGGACCTACTTCTGCAACACCTGCCAGAAGGAGTTCCCCAACCTGATGTCCCTCAAGAACCACGGCCGGATCCACACCGAGCCCAAACGCTACCAGTGTCCCGACTGTGGGAAATCCTTCCGCGTGTCCGCGGCGCTCGTCTGCCACTGTCGCATCCACACCAAGGAGAAGCCGTTCTCCTGCCAGCAGTGCGACAAGCTCTTCTCGTCTCGGGCCAACCTGCGGCACCACATGAAGGTGCACTGGAGGGGGCCCCAGCTGTCCCGTAGGCCATCCGCCTTCCTCAGCGTCCCCTCCAGACCGTTCATCTAGACCTCCAATACATTGAGGGAAACACATTTAAAACTTCTAAATATCGTGCTGCAGGAATGAGTCCTAAAACCCTAACATTAGTTTGCATTTTAGCACTAGCTATTCCCTCGTCCGGAAGTCAATGGTTTGTTGAATGAGTTTTTGTTTAGAGGTTGAAATAAGGTCTGTGGTTAACAGACTTTCAGGTTTTGTTCTGCAACATAAAATACATCAGTAAATAACCCACTGGTGAATGCCTGAAGCTTCGACGTTTTTTGAAAACCGTGTTTGCTAAATGAGATTACTAAAGGTCATCATGCCAAACATAAGCTAACCTTAGTTTAGCGATGTCGACGTAAAGTCATGTGACCAGCTCTTAGTTTGTTTATAGTCCAACGTTAACTTTTACTTCTGGATACTCCAATTGAAACAGTTGTGTCAATTTCTAAAGATATTCTGCTGAACAAAACCTGTAAAGTATCAATACATTCTGCAATAATCCAAAATCCAATAGAATAATCTCATTGGCTTTTTGGGGAGGGAACCAGGGAGATGCTAATTTCATCCCACCACCACTCTGTCAATATCTCTATATGATTTAAATATTTCACCAAATCAATTTTGAGGAGGCAACTCCGACTCCCAGAATGCATTTCCCGAACACACAGCCAACAACAGAACTCCTGGCAGCAAACTAACTTAAAAAATATATATAAAACTGAATCAACGACATCAATTTACAAATTCTGTTTTGGAAAAAATGATGCCCAGACTTTGAGTGTTGTATCCAAAACCCACCAACCCACCTTTGGCCAAAAATGTTGCAGTTGTTAACCACCATCGTGGAGAGGAGGCTACAGATGGAATAACGGAAGTATGAAATATTTCTGAAGATCTCCTTAAACAATCAGCAGCTTAACGCAAAACTCTCAGATGTAAAAACTGTGATTACACGAGAGAGAAACAATGCTGCGTTCAGGAGTTTCAGATAAAAGATTCCGACCTTTGTGATGTGTTCAGGTGCAAGACTCTCGTTAACTTTGCACACACTTTGAAGTAGAAGTGGAGGAACTGCAACATCACCATGGACAAACACAAGCACATTCAGTGTTTTTTCATACTGCAGACGATAAAGAAAACATACGGAAGCTCTGAGAGGCAAGTGAGGACAAAAAAAATCTGGTGATACAATTTCTATATCTGACCTAAATAGATTTCTCTTATTTTATGAGTTGAAAACAGCTGAATGACAAAAGTGTGTGAATATTTTTTCATCTTTAAAACAGGTCGATTTCTTTGTTGATGTATTTTCGCCTTTGTTTGAGTATTTCAAATAAAACCTGGGACTTTGTGGTTAGATAGGCAACATTACAGAAATTCACAAAGCTCCTAAAGTTATTGTGAGTGTATTAATTGAACATTTACATTTTTTGTGAGGGTGTGTTTGTTATTGTAAAAAAGGCCAATGTGCACCAAAAGAGTTACATTTTAAACATAATTTATTTTCTTTTATAAATGTTTTTTTTTTTTTATAACCGCAATGTTCCAGGTTCGATTCCAGCCGTGGGGCACGTCACACCCCATGTTTTTCTCACTTTTTTGACACTGATAACTGTCAAGTAAAGGCGAATTTCTCCCAAAAATGTATCTTTGACCTGTTGAAGATGTAAAGCAGAGAGAAATATTGGGATGCCTTCAGGTACAGCTATTAAAATTAACTGACATTTCCACCTTAAGGGATTTAATGTGGTTCGACTCCACTGTGGAGCGTTTGAGGGCCGTCAGAATCGAGAGCGTTCGGTTCTTCGTTGAGATTTTTTGTTTCACAATGTGACGTCTGATTTTAACATCAAGTATGGCAGTTCATTAATGCCACGTGGAGACAAATCTACCACATACGTTTATTTTATTTTTATTATCTCATCATTACATAAGGAATATAATAGTTCTGACCTAGAAAAGAACATTTGTATAAATACCTCTTCATATTTTTTATTCAATCTTATATAGTGTAAAAACGATTGAACATCAAACACTTTGAAGAAAACACCCGTGTGAATACATTACATGTTACTTGTCAGACGCTTTTATCCAAAGCGACTTACATACTCAATACTGTGGGCAATCCCCACAAGAGCAATTTGGGGTGAAGTGTCTTGCCCAGGGACACAACGACATGCTGACTGCAGTGGAGTTTGAACCTGTGACCTCCTGATCTGAACACCAACGCACAACCCACTGCACCACACGCCTCCCCGCCTGTGTGAATAAACAGCAATAACACTATCCCTTGTGAATAAAAAAGATTTAGAAGAAAACATTTAATTTAATTAATTTACTGGAAACAAAACAATAAATTAATAAAGAAAATGTAAAATCACATATAATGAAAGTATTAAAAAAAGACTCAAATCACAAAGAGTTTCTACGTGAAGGTTTCACATAGTTGTACAAATCTTTATTATGAGATAGTAAGTCCTAATATCTCATAATTTGGAAAAAAATGTTATTAAGATGGGAGGGCTTACACTTTTTAGTGGATTTTTCATCCATGTTTTCTCTGAATGTGAGCTTGTTGGATTTCTGTCACGGACAAAGCGGATGTCGGGAGCCATTTTGTTTTTGTCTGCAGAAAATCAGCGAGTCGCTTGTCGACCAGCAAAACTAAAAACACTCATTTATATTTCTGTATTTTCTAATAACTTAAGGTTTTTAGAAAGTGGTGGTAGTCTGTTTTCTACTATCACATGGTTGCAAACGGCAGCTCCTTTCTTTTTTGCTTTTGTAAAATCATCAATCGATGCATAGTCAAGGGTTACGTGTGTTTTATTTATTTATCAGAAATGATAAAGATGGTTTGTGGTTCATACAGAAACAAACAGCTGAAGCCAGTAGTCGTGTTTCCATTCAAATATCAAGTGAATTTAAGCAGACTTCTGAAAAAACGTAAATTAGGCCCTATGCTATGGAAGCCTATATCTGCCACAATTATGAAATACTTTACTCAACACCTTTTTTTGTTAGACTTGGGGTTTTTGTATTTAATGTTCCCTGTTTTATTTTGAAATGTATTTTCTCTTTGTGTCTCTTCCAGTTTTACTTCCTGTGTTTTCCCGCCTGTGCCTGATTGTGTTCACCTGCTGCCCCTGTGTCCCCCCCCCCCCCCCCTCTCCAGCTGTGTGTTGTCTCTGTGATTAGGCTTGTATGTATTTTGGTTTGTCTTCCCTTGTGTTCTTTGTTATATCGTTGTCTATGTTCCTGCCTGTTTCCCCAAGTTCCTGTCTGCGTTTCTGCTCCTGTTCCTCATGCCCTCTGGTTTCTACTTGTTTATTTTGTTCTTCGTTTTTGTTGTTTTGTTTTACCTGGTCCGTGGCCTGTACGACGAAGCCAGTTCAACAGACCCTGGATATGTTTGAGTTATCTGGCTTAACTAACCCTAACAAACGAGATCTCGCTAAGCGGTCCTACGATGCTGGTTATCAACTCAGTAATTCAACCCAGGGTTTCTCTGTCCGGCTGAGAGCGCGTTCACGTGAAAGAGGCGGGGTTAGCAACATTTGACCAATCACAAACATGGACAAGCGTACTGACAGCGCAGCGTCATACTTCATGATTGAATAGTAAACTATCATGTTAGACAAATATGAAGAAGTTAAACTTTAAACATCCATGACTTAAACGCTTAATCCAGGATAAAAACAACATAGTTGCACCTGCAAGGTGAATACAGAACAGCGCTTCGTCAACTTAATGTGTTGTTAAATAATACTTCTGCCTACAGTATGTGTCACTGTAAGTGTTGCACGGCCAGATACGGCTCGAGAAGCTGACTCGGATAAGGAAGTATGTGATGTGATAGGATGTGATAGGATGTGATTGATGATGTGATATGAATGATAATGGGACACATCGACATCTGCACTCACAGTGTGGCGGACTGTAATGTTACTTTGATCCGGTTACTTATGTTGTGGCAGATATTTAAGCTTTCTTAACGCTAATGTAATAATAGTCAGATTGCTCAGAAGATGGGAGATGATATTCTATTAATTCATAGAATGTATTTATTTTATCCTGTAATATGACTTGATAGCTTAAAACTCCGCACACTGAGCTCTGATTGGTCAGCAGGCGATGCTTTCACTGAGTTGATCTCTTAACTGGAACATAATCTGCTCCGGAGCAGGTTAGGTGTTCAGCATAAGTTAACATGGAGATCTACCCCGGTAAGAAGTGAACCAGCGTCGTAGGACCGAAAACCCAGAGTTAACCCTGAAGTTACCTCGCTAACCGCAAATCCTGCTTCGTAGTACAGGCCACTGGTCCCCCTCTTTGTATCGGGTTTTTAGCAAAGCCTTTTGTTTGAACTTTCTTACCAGCTTCCTGTGTTTTACTGTGTTTTGGTCCTATCTGCTAATTAATCCCTTACAGTAATAAAAAAGGAAAACAAAAAAACTTACTTTTACTTTTGTAAATGTTTCTAATAACAGAGGGTTTGGGGGTAACATGTATTTGTTTTTATCAGAAATTATAAAGATTGAATGGTTTGTGACTCATTCAGAAAAAATGTGAATTTAAGCAATTGTCAAGTGAATTTGAAACCTTTTAAATGGCACAAAAAAAGAAATGTGAATTAGGCATGTTGCTCCTCATGCAACGTATTCCAGATAAAAAAAAATTTAATGTGTTTTTTTATACAGAAACACGTCTTAGTATCCGCTCATTACATAAATACTGTCCTTTCAAAATAAACCTCCATCTTCTACGTCACACAGTTGAGGAAGTTTTGTTGAATTTCTCTTCTTTTTCAACACAGCTTTCTAATGCGATACTTTAAAAAGGGCAAAATCTTTTGAATGGAAGCACGGCTATTTTGGCGGCCATTTTGTGTCCCTTCCTCAAACTACATTTTTCGAGTGTCAGAGAGATTAGAGAGACGTTTTCACTTAATTGTGACCTTGTTTCTCATAATTTATATTATGAGAAAATTATTTCATAATTACAAGATTTTCGTATTGTAATTATGAATCTGTTTTGTTGTAAACATTGAAAAAACAAAGATCTCATAATAATGAGAAAACCTCATCATTACCAATACACAGGTCTTTTAATAATGAAAATAATGTATTATAATAATTAGATATAGATCTTCAATATGAAAAATAAAGGAAAATATATGTGAATATTTTTCAGTATAAGTTTCAAAGTCACAATCAGGAGAACACGTCTCATAGTTTTGGTCTTTGCTGATTATGAAGAGGTACAATGCTGTTCAAACGGTTCACATGTGAATTTAAGAAAAACTTTTTCCTCGTTGACACAATGTTTTTTGACTGAGAGGAAATATTGATTAGTTTAGAATAGATGAATCTGCAGACAGATCAGCGCAGTAGAAAGTGTAGCAGAAGGCTGTTGGTATATCGTCAGTGAATTATAACCTCTGTATGACTTTTATATACAAAACAACTGTAGATTATCTTTATTTCTATTATTATAACAAACGAGTGTTGAGAGAAAAGGTTTCATCACTTTTTCATTGTCTTCTTCTTGGTATTTACTGTATGTCCTCTACAGTTTTTAATAAAATCCTGCATCCTACAAACTGTAGTCAAACTGTCAAGTAAATCTTTTGTTAATGTTGCAAAAAAGGAAATGAAATTAGCCATGTTGCTATACCTTTTTGCAACGTATCCTCATGTTTGGTTAGAATACGTTAAAAATGTTTGTTTTTCATGCGTTTTCCTACGAATATACAACAATGACGTCTTTCTGCTCGTTATATATAGACTGTCCTTTAAAAATAAACTTCTGTCTAAACCACTTGTTTATGGTAAGAAAAAGTTTGTATTTTGCGTTGAAATAACTTCAGAAGTGGCGCTACTTCATTATGTAAGTTACACATCGGGCGACTAAACTATGTTCACACATTTGAAGAAGTTTTGTTTAATTTTCCTGCCATTTCCATACAGCTAATGCAGAATTTTTAAAAGTGCAGAACAATGTTAATTGAAACATTTTCTGGCAGCCATTTTGTGTCCCTTCCTCAAACTTCATTTGTGAGACCAGGAAAAGTTTGTGTTTTGGGTAAAATTACTTGCGAAGTGATGCTAATTATGTAAGTTATCACACACAAAAACTATATTCGCACTGTAGATTATTTTCATTTAATCCTACAAACTAGAAAATATTCATTTTTATTTTCTGTATACCCTTTTGTTTTTAGGAACACTTAGTAAATGTATGCCATATGTGTGAACTCAGAAAAATGATTGAAAAATGTAAAAGCCAATAATGCCTCAAGTGTGGC